TGGATACATATTCTAATTTACTTTATGTAAAAGAAATGAAAGTTGAACTAGCATACTTAGCTCACAGAGCAACAGAAATAGATAAATACAGATTAGAAACATGTTGCATAGTAGGTAAGTTTCCTGTACCATCGGAAACATCTAAATCGAAGACATTATGTTTTTATCTGGTAGAATTAATATTCTCTAGGAAATTACTATAGTTTAAGAGGAGATCATCAAAAGGCAGTGATGTATTTCCATAGGGCATTGAAATTAAATCCGCAGTATCTTTCGGCTTGGACGTTACTTGGTCATGAATTCATGGAGATGAAAAATACGAACGGTGCCATTCATAGCTACCGCCAAGCTATTGGTTCGTAGTAAGAGAATTATCTTAAGTCAAAAGAAAGTATTTATCTATTTAGCAATTCTTTTGTTTGTATAGAAATGAATAAGCGAGATTACAGAGCATGGTATGGCTTGGGTCAAACATACGAAATTTTAAAAATGCCCTTTTATGCGCTCTACTATTATAAACAGGCTCAGCTTTTGAGGCCACATGATAGTAGAATGGTGCTAGCTTTAGGAGAAGCGTACGAAAAGCAAGATAAAATACAAGATGCGCTGAAGTGTTATTATAAAGCATGTAATGTTGGCGATATCGAGGGAATGGCACTGTTGAAACTAGCTACGTATGTATTGCAACTCAGGATTATTTAAGATTTACAATTAAATACACGCTCGTATGCCTTATATTACAGATTGTATGAAAAGTTAGGTGAACATGATCATGCGGCAGCAGCTTATACCGATTTCGTGATGGATGAATTTAGAAATGCGGACAGGACCGATTTAAGTCACGCGTATAAGTATTTAACTCAGTATCACTTAAAACGAGAACAATTAGATCAGGCAAATCACTATGCCCAGAAATGTTTACAATTTGATGAAACGAAGGAAGAAGCTAAAACACTATTGAGAACGATTGCTCAGAAAAGAGTAAAAGTTGAAGAAACTTCGATGGTGGTAATTGAGCACCGTTTAATGCATCTATGTAAGAAACGATCATTATCAGCGTATTTCTAATTTTACATCAATTACAGGTGGAAGATATGAATGAAACGGATCCCGTTATTGAACAAGGAGAAAGGCCAGATACTACACCAGGAAGTCAGTTATCACCGATGAACTTGTCATTCATGCCAACACCGTAAGATAAGGGAACGATAGTGAATCGTTTTTCTCGCTTTGTACGTTGTATATATTTTTAATAAACGTTTAAAAATCAAATGATAAATTTCTTCATAACAAATTTTTATTCATGTTACTTTCTGTACAAACATGTGCATTTATAAATGTATATTTTCTTTTTTTTCTAGTATAACAATATCACCGGTAGTAGTTGTTCCTCAAAATATTATTTAAGATCTTCGAAGAACTAACATTGACAGGTAAGTCCATAAATTCAGGATAGTCATAATAGAGATGTCTCATAGGCGAAGGTGCTGGCGGCACAATCGAACAGTTAGGACAATCAGGGTTTGGTCGTGGCACTATAAAATGTTTGGAACTGTTACCGATGTAAGGCAATAACGGTGGATTCTGAGGTAATTCCGGAAAGCCAGGCGGAGGACGAGAACGCGTTCGAAAATTATTCGTATTATCCAATGAGTTCGTACGCGATCGTCCAATCACGATATCCACATCTGGGGTTGTTAACGCACGCTCGTCAAAACCAAGATCCGTCGACGACGATGATGTACTGGAACGTGATATTCGTTTACGTATAATTTTCGGCAATCCATCGTTGGAGTCTTCAGTGTCTGCTACGTAATTCAATTCTCGTTCCACGTTTTTATCCTGAAAAAGAACAATAGCCTGTTAGACCAACAAACAAGAACTCATTACAAAAGGAAAACAGAGTAGCAAATGTACCTTCATGATATTAAAATGCAACCTGCGACTTGTACGTTTGTTGCAAAGTTTCGCGTCAATGGGAGTCATTTCAACATCATCGTCCGAAAATGCGCTGTCCGTTTGCGTGGCTATTTCTTTATATTTCACATCATTCCGTTTCGTTTCTTTATTCTTCGCCGTTGTCCTCGAAGCTCGCGATTCATGTTTACTCGGAGTGTCGTGCCGAGAACTTCGTTTTTCTTCACGAACTTTATTTCCACTCCTGCGTTCGCTTTCTCTCTCATTTTTATCTTCCTCGTGAGACACTTTCCTTCTTTTACTATTAATGCTAAAATCCGACGGTTGTTTCTTCTTATACTCCTTCGCGTTACCCTCTGGCTTTTTCTTCGAATGAATCGCAACCGTGGAATTGGTCTTGTAATAAAGAAAATTATTCTGCATCGTTTTCTCGCGTTTGAAAGAGGACGATTTAACAAACGAGGAAGTAAACTCGTCCTCCGAGGAGGTGCATTGCTTTTGAAAGATCCGGGAAATTTCTTCATCCACGGATGAATTGCTATCTTGCTCCTCGACGTTCATCTTCGAAGCTATATTCTCTTTGTTATTTTGAAATTGTTTTTCAGTCACTCGATAATCCCGCGGTAGGTTCAGCGGGATATGCGTCTTGTCATAATGTAGTTCCTCCATTGATACATCCATAGGTTCTTCCGACGCCCTGTGCGACATAGTTCTATCGAGATTATCGTAATCTATCGACATGTTCATTGCCAATGTGTTATTCGCGGTGCTCCATTGTTCACCAGAGGAATCGGAATCTTCTTCGGCGGTTACCATTTCGTCAGCGGATTCATCCTTGTCACGGCTTCTCTTTTCTTTCGAATTTTTCACACATGATACTGCGTCTTTTCTTTCATCCACCAAATCGCGATCAGACTTGGATCTACCAGACTTTTCCGAAGACTTGATACTGGTAGCTTCTCTCGGCGTCTTCTTTTCTTCACGCTCCTTTACTTTCTTCTCTTCTTTTTCTGCTTCATCGCGTTTCCTGCTGGGTTCTGCGGGCTTTTCGGACGCGATGGGTTTCGTGCTCGTTCCAAATATACAGAAACGTAAAAGATGCAGAGGGAAGAGAATGTATTTGATACCACTCTCGATGATGCCTCCGCTCATCGAATGAAGAACTTCGATCGATGGCATCATGTTTTCTTGTTTCGTTTTCAAATCTTTCCTTGGTATTTCTCGTGGGAACGGGCTGTACCGCTTACTGCTGGTCACGGTTTTCAACGAGTCTCTTACACTGGACGCCGCAGCTTCCTATCAAAATACCAATTTACACAATATTAGAATATTTCACGAAATACGTTCGTTCAAACGTAATTTCGAACGCGTGGTTTTCAATAACAAGAGACACTCAGGCTAAGATTAAGTCTGCACGGGCGATTGTGGAAAATTAGAAAATATCGAGCATTGATTGTATTGCATCGTTCGCGAAAGCGTGTACTTACGTTATCGACTTCCGAGCACTGACGCCTGTTTCTTCTGCTTGTGCTTTTATTTTCCTTCGGCATGATTACTGACACTTCGCTCTTGCTATCACCACCGGACAGAAATACTCTGCCACTTTGGATACTCGCTTTCTGGACACCGAGCAGTGTACGTTACACCTAGGAAATCACGAATGAAATGGAAATGCAGTGAACTGTGATTTTGTACGAAAGCCAGACAATGGTACCCCTGTATTATGATTGGTAGTTTGGTAAACGAAGAAAAAGAAACTTCGTGTTAGAACCTCAAAGGGACGAAGGGTAATTATCCCTTCTGACGACTATTGACCGTAGTGTTTTGTACTCTTACGCTTTCAGGTCAATTCGCTCCCTCGACACCTTATTGCTTATTATTAGACACCCGGATCAGATCATGGTCTACCTGTTTTCTTTTTTATTAAATAATCATTAATTTTCTATTTTACACGGTTTACATGTTTCAATTTTTATAACACAAAATATCCGTCATCGATTGAGTGAAGTTAACGAGGGAGTTTAAGGTAAAGGGCATTGTACGTGCGACCTTTTCGATTCTACCTGCCATCATAATCCCTTCTTTTCTTTCGAGGAATTAGAATTGAAAATTGGGGTCGTTTAAAGTTCCAGCTACGTTATTCTTGCAAGGTTTCCTTTTTTCGTGCAGTGAAATTGTCACGAAGAAAGTACAGTATGATGCACAATTTTAATATCAAAAAGGGGGTATTTCGAGGATTTCGCAGTATTACAGAATTTTTCTCATGTACTTTGATGTGCTTGCGATGGTAAAATCTTAACGATTACAGAATACTGTTATAAGATGCAGGCTCACACAAGCATGCAGACACGCGAGAATGCACGCACGCTACCTACGCATTGCACGTGGCAATTGACAGCTGTGCACACCTGTATGCACACGAGCGTGAGCACGCAAGCATGCAGAGAGCTCTTGCTTTATCATTTTACCACCTTACCATTTTTCGTTATCTTTTAATTCATTCTATTGCAAAATTTCGTTTCAAGTATTCTATTCAAATTAAAAATATCAAGGGATGGAATATTTCAATTAGCTACGTTTATAGTAGCAAATATGTCATGAGTCAACAATGTGTCACTTAAGTTTGTAATAGTAATATTATAGATTTGCTAAGTAGTAAGAAATATTTTTTTTTTTAATACTTTTTTTTCTTTACTCCGTTGTTTGATCTATCGGATTATAGCATAGAAGCAGATAGAGAGCAACATATTATTGGTTCAACGAGAAATCATACCTATCGCGCAACGAGATTTCGTTTGTACTGCGCATGCTTCGTCTGCGCAAGCGCAAAATGGCGCCGCGTAATATACCCAGCGGTCTTATATTCAGTATACTCTTCGACCTTCGACGTTATCAGTTGTTTGAAACAAGCTGCTTCTTTTATTATATATTTTTGTACGCCGTGTATATGACCATGAAGATAGAAGCAAGACTAGAGGGCCTCCCTGAGCTGCGCGAAACAGGTATGTTTTCTCGTTGAACGAATAATAATGTTTCGATGGTGGTTTCTAAGGTCGCGCGCAATTCAACAGAGCATGGCCGCCATATTGACTATATTCTCCCAACCCAGCACCAAGGATGTTTGTGCGTGCCTGGCACGACTGCTGTTACATCGCGGTCGTTGCCGTCGTCATCGCTGTCGTTGTCATTCTCGTTGTCGTTGTTATTCCTGTTGTCATCGTCGACTTTGTTACTCTCGTTGAATTGTAATTGTCATTGACGGATTCGAGCGTCGTGTAATCCGCGACACAGTGTTAACATTTTTGATAGAATTGACACTTGCTGTCCGTGAGATATGTCAAATCAAATATGTCTAAAATGGAACAGTTTTTTAAACAACATCGCCACGAGCTTCGAAAGCCTTTGGGAAGAAAAAGGTCTGGTGGATGTGACATTGTCAAGCAATGGACGGTGTCTTAAGGCGCATAAAGTGATTCTCTCGGCTAGCAGTCCTTTTTTCAAGAAAGTTTTCCAGGTTGACTTTCTACGTTATTTTCTTTTTTTAATTTCTTCGACCTTTTGACAATTGTCTCGCTGTCAATCAAAAGTCATTGTCAATCTATATTTAATTGATAAGACATGATAGAGAATTGTATAAAACAAATGTGTTGTATGCTAGTTGAGGTTAACCTATTAACCAATAAATTAACCTGCTAACCCATTATTCTAATCTCTATTGTTACAGACAAATCCCTGTCACCATCTTGTTATATTATTTAAAGGTGTGCACTTCAGCGAATTGCAAGCATTACTTATATTTATATATAAAGGGGAGGTAAATATAGAGCAGAAAAATTTACCAGCCCTGTTGGAAGCTGCAGAGGCCTTGCAAATTCGTGGGCTTTCCGGGGGAGATATATTTGCTAAAGAATCGTATAAAAAATTAGCAGAACTGGAGCAGGCAGTGGAAGAAAGTGTGGTAACAGCTAAGGAAGAAACTTCAAGAAAGAAACAGAAACTTAATAAACATCAAAATTCTATATTAGAATCAGCATTGACACCTAGAATATCACAGTTAGAAGGGACAGATGAGTCCACAACCAGTGATCAAGGTAAAAAAGAAGGGGATTATCCTCTTCCAAAGAACATGCTTCAAAATCCAATTTATCAGCGTTTGGAAATGAAAGTTAGTAACACTTGAGGATCTTTACATTATAGTAAATTGAATAGTAAACTAACAATTTAATTGATTATGTTTCAGATAGAACCAATAGAAACAGCAGTGGACAATGCTCAGAAACAGCCAGCAACAGATAAAGATCCAGCTGAAAGATTGGACACTGGTCAAAGTGATGGAAATCAAGGTTAGTGACAATTTCAAAATGAAGTTAGATTGGTATTTTATTTGCAGAGTTAATTTTATTTTATAATATTTGCGTGTATTTTATGTGTTCTTCAACATTGCAAAATGTTATTGTTCATATGTGTTTTATGCAAGCATTACATCATAATGCTTATCCAATACCATTAAATGGTATTTGGTATTTCTATTTATGTTTAAATTGTTTAGAAATGGCAGATATTAAACCAGATCATAAAGTTGAAGATACTGATAATTATGGAATGGGTAATAATGCGGAACCAAAAAATATGCAAGAATTGACAGAATATGTAAGTATAGGCCGATGTATTGTTGTGTCATTTGTTGTAACTCAATGTTACGATTCCTTGTTTATATTTTCTTTTTTTATTTTTAGGTACAAACACTACTACAAAATATGCAGGGTAAATTTCAAACAATGTTAGATCAAATTCTTGGAAAAAATATCCTTTTCTAAGCCTTTTTTTACAAACATGCTTCCTTAAATAACCTCAAAAAATGTAATGGTTATGAACGCCGAAATGTTTATTTTATGAAAGTGAGAACTAATATATAAAAAAAAGAAGTTATTTAAGGAAATTTTATATTTACTTTAACAGTTTTGTACTCGGAATGTTAATTATTATAACTATCCTTAATAGAAAATACTAGATGAAATGGGAAACAGGATAGATGATCTAGAAAAGAACATCACAGACCTAATGACACAGGCTGGTGTAGAAGGAGGTGAAAAATGATCATATCTATTATAAGATTGATTTTGATATACAAACAAAAACATTTTTAATATTGGTTAATGCTATTGGTCAAGAATGATATCTAAAGGTTATTGATATGTACTTTTAGTTATAAAAGAAATAAATCACCTTTTTTGCAGTAAAGTAATCCAATCTAATCTACATTTTCTTTTTTCTTGTTAAATAAAAACGGGAGACATACTTAATTATACTTAATAATCATAGGCTTTGTTAAAAACTTCTGATATGCAGGAATTGGGGGTATTGCTTTAAATATAAATTTGCGTGGACCATCATGTTTAGAATCTGTTTGCAGTTTAATCTACAATTGTATAAAATATTAAATGGAATTAATGAAATATACATAATTACATAGATTTATGCCTGATTCTCACAGGTTTATCTTTAATAGATTCAGAGTCTGTTTCTTCTGAACTCTCTTTATATTCCTCAATTTGTACAGATTCTGAAGAGTTGGTTTTTAAACTAGATTTTGCAGAATCCTATAAATAAATGTTCATTAATAACCATACACAATTATTACATATCAAGTTAAAATGAAGACCTACCGTGGACCCCGTCGCACGGGTATCTAATTTCTGTGAAATGATGGGAGAAGAAGTAAAACGACTAGCCAAATTAGTTAGAGAATAAGCTTGTCTAAATGAAGTTCGTTCAACGGTAGCCAATCTTGCAACAGAATCCGGAACACGCATCACTTCACGAAATTCCTAAATTCAATCATTAAATCTATTAGTTTAAATAATAAAAGTATCTGATGTATGTCATCCTCATAATACTAAATTAAATGTGGTAAGCAGAATAATATTTTACCCCATTCATACTTCCTCTCATTGTCTGAAAGTCCTGTGAGAAAAGTATCAGTATGACGCTAATTTAAAATCACCTATGAAACTTTAAAACTTATTTAATGCATAACAAAATTATATTTAATACGTCAGTAACATCTTACCTCTAGATCTTTAACTTCATCGATTTCACTAACGTCTTGATAAGCTTTCGTCAATAACTCCAAAGCTTTTGCGTGAAAACTTAACTCGATAGCAACAAAATCTAACAGTAAGGTTTTTAAGTCATGTAATTTCCTTTTTTCGAATGAATCAATTTGCTCTTCCAACCCCTTTACAACTCTTGAAACTTCGACGGAAGCTTTCATTAATTCCGATTCAGCTTGTGACTGTATTCATATTTAAGAATATAAAATACATTGCAAATTGTGAACAATTTAATATGAATATTAATATAAGGATACGATCATTTGTCTGTTTCTAGGATTTCTTTCTCTGAGCCTGTCCAGATGTCTTTTCCTAGTTAACTCTTTGTCTCGTGCCGCAAAGGTATTTTTCACGTCATCACGAGCATGTTTACAGATAGTCGCATATTGAGAAAGCGGAGCAATTATTTTTGCATCGAATCTTTGTACTTTGGCATCACTAATAACATAAAAAATTCTTTTTATTTACACCTTTTCATGATTTAGCGAAACGAACGCGTACCTGTAGTCGCCTATCACCGAGAGAGTCGCTGAAAAGTTCGTCAATCCTGTAGAAAGTGATCGATTTATATTTTCCGAATGAGCGTAGGTCTGAATTACTTTTGCAATTTCATCGCCTTTATCGCGCAATCTGAAAGTATATTTATAAATATAAAGAAATAAAATAATCGATATATAGGGGTACATATATCGGATTGCTGTTACCGACAAACCTTGCCGCTTTTCTTGCATATGCCGCAAACGTCACGCATAATTCTGCGAAATGTTTCTCCACGTTGGATATTCGATCCTGTACAAATTTCGCTTCTTGTTCCCTGACAAAGACGACAAAATAATGAACATAACGTTAAAACATACTTTCAGGTATTTTACAGCCGTGTAATCTGAAAATATTTACCATACACTGGTCTGGGATCTTGAACGTAACATCGTGTCATGTGTACGTATGCGTAGTTTTGCAATTTCTTTTTTTTTTCTTAAATCTAAATCGATGTTCGTATGAAAGTGTACTGTTTCTACCGTTTCATTCGCGTGGACTCCCCCACTAAACAGTTTATCGTTGACAGGTGGTGTATTACGACCCGAAGGGAGGTCGATTTTAGTCTATACTAACCGGCCTTTGTCTACCTACCTGCGTAGTTAAGTAAAACTATAGTTTCTTTACACAATGTTTCGAAAGGAATATAGTTCTTTGACCCTTTGCCTGATGATTCATTTTCACGCGACTCCGTACATGCAATTGTTATAAGAACATATTCCAAGAATAGAAATGTGTATAATAAGGATTCAAAGAATGAAAAAAGCATTAAGAAAACGTGTTTCGTCAATAAAATTTATAGCTTCTTTATTACAGCAAACGAATGACCTGCACCGCTACCGATACAAATTCCCGCGTAATTAAACGGAAGTGAAAGTTCTTCCGGAAATTTAACGTCTCTCGTATGACCGTTTCCGCAGTTTCCATGCTCGTTCCAACCCCAACACACAATCCTATCGTTCTCTGCAATATTAAGCATATAATACATTAATATACACGTTGATTTTGAATCCTTTGATGAAAAGTAGAGAAACACCTGTTAAAGCAACGTTATGTTCTGAACCGACAGAAATCTGACGAATTTTCGACTCGTTTTCGAGCCACATAACCTTCCAAGTTGATGATCCTTCGAATTCTTTAACACCTAATTGTCCATACGTATTTCTACCCCACGAAAAAATCTGACCATCTAGAAATAAGTAAATTATCTTTAAAATAATACATGTTACTTATATAATAGATGTAAATTTGAATTACCACTTAATGCAACCGTATGCGACCAGCCACATTGGATCTCAGTCGGTGATTTAAACGGAACGTCTAATAGTTTTATTGGAAAGGATGTATTTGAGAGTATATCAGTATTTAAGCCTAATTGTCCATGTTTATTGTCACCGAAACCATAAAGATCCCCGTTTTCCTCTACTACAATAGTATGACGTTGACCACAGTTAACACTGTGCACATTTGTCAGAGTTGGAACTGTTTACGAAGCAGAATGAAACTCAGGCCATCATGGAAGAAAGGTTTCGTTTCAAAAATGTTTACCTTCTGTGAAAGTGTATGCGGCATTTAAAAGCGGTTCGTTCCTCGACAGACTTAGACCCAATTGTCCTCTATTACCTGCACCCGCTACCAGAACTTTATGATCCTCTGTTATTAGAGCAGTGTGCCTTAGGCCAAAGGAAATCCCTTTAACTTTTCGATCGATTAGAAGTTCAAAAGGTTCGTGCGTCCAACGAAGATTACTCAGGTGTTCCCCCAATTGTCCGAAACAATTCGACCCCCAGAGAAATAAAGTGCCTTCTATTGTCAATGCCGCGGAGCAATCCCAGCCACATGCGATGTCCACGACAACCTTGCCTTCAAGTTTATTATCTAGTTTTCGAAACGAAAGAACATCTTGCTGGGTAGAAAAACCTGCTTGACCTTTATTGTTCCAGCCGCAGGAATAAACGTTACCGTAATCGTCTAAAATTAAGGAGTGACCAGCACCGCCAACTATTTTACGTATTCTTCGGGGTTCTAATGAACATCTGGACAAATCAACTTCTTGGGGTAAAAGACATTCCTCCGAATGAATACCCTGTCCAAGTTGACCATGAGAATTGGCACCCTAAACAGCACATGATTTTTTTCTCTAAATGTAAACCTTATTTTGTCGAGTAATTTAAATTTATGATTGCTCTCCACATTTTGAATGTTCCGCCAAGTCATGGTGTTTCTATTTGAATTTGATCTTATTGACTACGAGTTACATTTTATCAACTGTATCTAATCTATTTTGCAATTTATTATAGATTTTATGTATTTAAATTATTAACGTGATTACATTCGAAATTAAAATGACTGTATATGTAAAATATAGAGTAAAAATGATTAGTACGTTACCCATGAGATTAAACGATAGCTCATCGTTATTTGTAGGTGTGCAAATTATTTCTTATAAAATGGTCGTATTTGATGTTTAAATAATATTTAAATAATAGAATTAAAAACATATCTACAATTTTAAGCTAGATAACTACGTACTAAAGTAAAGATTGAAAGACTCGCGGAACGGATAGGTTAACTTTTTGAGAATACGATGTATAGATGGCGGCAAACATCTTCATGTATACAATTTTTGTATTCAGTTTCTTTATTTAATTCATGAAAACATTGATTCTTTTATGGCGATGTGCAGAATTGTTATTTAGTTAACTATAGTAATTACAGTCATTAGATCAATCATTGATAGGACTTATACGATATGGAAGAACCTATCAAGTTTGATATCAAAGAGGTTAAGTCTGATCTTTTGCGCGCGATAAACGAATGTTCTCAACGTGGATTATTGCACACCACAAAATGGTTTGTACGTTTTTGAAATAAGAGTAAAAAGAGAATTGTTATTTTATTACGGAGAGGGTATAAAAAGTAATTTTTATTTGTTTACAGGCTAGCAGAATTGAGTTATTCCTTAAAAGACGTCAAACCAAATGTTCATGACATTACCGCCGATGTGTATTTGTCGGATACAGAAGAAGAAGAGGATACATATATTTTGGCAAAAACGTATTTCGATTTAAAAGAATATGCTAGAGCGGCTTATTTTACCGAACAATGTAAAACTTCGAAAGTTAGATTTCTACATTTATATTCTCGCTACTTATCAGGCGAAAAGAAAAAGATTGATGACATGACTGTAGTGCCCCCGGATCCTTTGAAAAATGATAGTTTAAAATTGTTATGCGCGGATTTGAGGAAAGATCACTTGGATGATAAACTCGATGGTTTTAGTCTTTATCTCTTTGGTGTAACTTTGAAAAAGCTACAACTTACCAGAGAAGCTATGGATGTGTTGGTCGAGGCAGTCCACAAACAACCAATGCATTGGGGATCATGGTTAGAATTAGCTTCTTTAATTATTGATAGAGAAAAACTGGAAAATCTATGTCTACCTGATCATTGGATGAAACACTTCTTTATGGCTCACATGTATTTAGAGTTGCAACTGATCGACGAAGGTTTAGCTTTATATTATGAATTACAGTCAATGGGGTTCAAGAAAAATGGATATGTGCTTGCTCAAACTGCAATTGCAGTACATTACAGGAGAGGTAGATCAGTTTCTAAATGATTGCAAATAGGATTCACACTCTTATACTGAATTGGGATATTTTCCTTTCAGATGTTGACAATGCGATAGAGACATTTAAAAGGATAATAAAAGAAGATCCTTACTGTTTAGATAATATGGATACATATTCTAATTTACTTTATGTAAAAGAAATGAAAGTTGAACTAGCATACTTAGCTCACAGAGCAACAGAAATAGATAAATACAGATTAGAAACATGTTGCATAGTAGGTAAGTTTCCTGTACCATCGGAAACATCTAAATCGAAGACATTATGTTTTTATCTGGTAGAATTAATATTCTCTAGGAAATTACTATAGTTTAAGAGGAGATCATCAAAAGGCAGTGATGTATTTCCATAGGGCATTGAAATTAAATCCGCAGTATCTTTCGGCTTGGACGTTACTTGGTCATGAATTCATGGAGATGAAAAATACGAACGGTGCCATTCATAGCTACCGCCAAGCTATTGGTTCGTAGTAAGAGAATTATCTTAAGTCAAAAGAAAGTATTTATCTATTTAGCAATTCTTTTGTTTGTATAGAAATGAATAAGCGAGATTACAGAGCATGGTATGGCTTGGGTCAAACATACGAAATTTTAAAAATGCCCTTTTATGCGCTCTACTATTATAAACAGGCTCAGCTTTTGAGGCCACATGATAGTAGAATGGTGCTAGCTTTAGGAGAAGCGTACGAAAAGCAAGATAAAATACAAGATGCGCTGAAGTGTTATTATAAAGCATGTAATGTTGGCGATATCGAGGGAATGGCACTGTTGAAACTAGCTACGTATGTATTGCAACTCAGGATTATTTAAGATTTACAATTAAATACACGCTCGTATGCCTTATATTACAGATTGTATGAAAAGTTAGGTGAACATGATCATGCGGCAGCAGCTTATACCGATTTCGTGATGGATGAATTTAGAAATGCGGACAGGACCGATTTAAGTCACGCGTATAAGTATTTAACTCAGTATCACTTAAAACGAGAACAATTAGATCAGGCAAATCACTATGCCCAGAAATGTTTACAATTTGATGAAACGAAGGAAGAAGCTAAAACACTATTGAGAACGATTGCTCAGAAAAGAGTAAAAGTTGAAGAAACTTCGATGGTGGTAATTGAGCACCGTTTAATGCATCTATGTAAGAAACGATCATTATCAGCGTATTTCTAATTTTACATCAATTACAGGTGGAAGATATGAATGAAACGGATCCCGTTATTGAACAAGGAGAAAGGCCAGATACTACACCAGGAAGTCAGTTATCACCGATGAACTTGTCATTCATGCCAACACCGTAAGATAAGGGAACGATAGTGAATCGTTTTTCTCGCTTTGTACGTTGTATATATTTTTAATAAACGTTTAAAAATCAAATGATAAATTTCTTCATAACAAATTTTTATTCATGTTACTTTCTGTACAAACATGTGCATTTATAAATGTATATTTTCTTTTTTTTCTAGTATAACAATATCACCGGTAGTAGTTGTTCCTCAAAATATTATTTAAGATCTTCGAAGAACTAACATTGACAGGTAAGTCCATAAATTCAGGATAGTCATAATAGAGATGTCTCATAGGCGAAGGTGCTGGCGGCACAATCGAACAGTTAGGACAATCAGGGTTTGGTCGTGGCACTATAAAATGTTTGGAACTGTTACCGATGTAAGGCAATAACGGTGGATTCTGAGGTAATTCCGGAAAGCCAGGCGGAGGACGAGAACGCGTTCGAAAATTATTCGTATTATCCAATGAGTTCGTACGCGATCGTCCAATCACGATATCCACATCTGGGGTTGTTAACGCACGCTCGTCAAAACCAAGATCCGTCGACGACGATGATGTACTGGAACGTGATATTCGTTTACGTATAATTTTCGGCAATCCATCGTTGGAGTCTTCAGTGTCTGCTACGTAATTCAATTCTCGTTCCACGTTTTTATCCTGAAAAAGAACAATAGCCTGTTAGACCAACAAACAAGAACTCATTACAAAAGGAAAACAGAGTAGCAAATGTACCTTCATGATATTAAAATGCAACCTGCGACTTGTACGTTTGTTGCAAAGTTTCGCGTCAATGGGAGTCATTTCAACATCATCGTCCGAAAATGCGCTGTCCGTTTGCGTGGCTATTTCTTTATATTTCACATCATTCCGTTTCGTTTCTTTATTCTTCGCCGTTGTCCTCGAAGCTCGCGATTCATGTTTACTCGGAGTGTCGTGCCGAGAACTTCGTTTTTCTTCACGAACTTTATTTCCACTCCTGCGTTCGCTTTCTCTCTCATTTTTATCTTCCTCGTGAGACACTTTCCTTCTTTTACTATTAATGCTAAAATCCGACGGTTGTTTCTTCTTATACTCCTTCGCGTTACCCTCTGGCTTTTTCTTCGAATGAATCGCAACCGTGGAATTGGTCTTGTAATAAAGAAAATTATTCTGCATCGTTTTCTCGCGTTTGAAAGAGGACGATTTAACAAACGAGGAAGTAAACTCGTCCTCCGAGGAGGTGCATTGCTTTTGAAAGATCCGGGAAATTTCTTCATCCACGGATGAATTGCTATCTTGCTCCTCGACGTTCATCTTCGAAGCTATATTCTCTTTGTTATTTTGAAATTGTTTTTCAGTCACTCGATAATCCCGCGGTAGGTTCAGCGGGATATGCGTCTTGTCATAATGTAGTTCCTCCATTGATACATCCATAGGTTCTTCCGACGCCCTGTGCGACATAGTTCTATCGAGATTATCGTAATCTATCGACATGTTCATTGCCAATGTGTTATTCGCGGTGCTCCATTGTTCACCAGAGGAATCGGAATCTTCTTCGGCAGTTACCATTTCGTCAGCGGATTCATCCTTGTCACGGCTTCTCTTTTCTTTCGAATTTTTCACACATGATACTGCGTCTTTTCTTTCATCCACCAAATCGCGATCAGACTTGGATCTACCAGACTTTTCCGAAGGCTTGACACTGGTAGCTTCTCTCGGCGTCTTCTTTTCTTCACGCTCCTTTACTTTCTTCTCTTCTTTTTCTGCTTCATCGCGTTTCCTGCTGGGTTCTGCGGGCTTTTCGGACGCGATGGGTTTCGTGCTCGTTCCAAATATACAGAAACGTAAAAGATGCAGAGGGAAGAGAATGTATTTGATACCACTCTCGATGATGCCTCCGCTCATCGAATGAAGAACTTCGATCGATGGCATCATGTTTTCTTGTTTCGTTTTCAAATCTTTCCTTGGTATTTCTCGTGGGAACGGGCTGTACCGCTTACTGCTGGTCACGGTTTTCAACGAGTCTCTTACACTGGACGCCGCAGCTTCCTATCAAAATACCAATTTACACAATATTAGAATATTTCACGAAATACGTTCGTTCAAACGTAATTTCGAACGCGTGGTTTTCAATAACAAGAGACACTCAGGCTAAGATTAAGTCTGCACGGGCGATTGTGGAAAATTAGAAAATATCGAGCATTGATTGTATTGCATATGAGAAATTGTGATGAAATACGATTCGTGAATTTCGCTGGAACTCGGCGCAAGATAATCTTGTCAAAAGTGAACGTTTCCTTCGAGCCGTGGATAGAGTTTATCGTTACGTAAATAATATTAAAATTCAGATAATTTGGAGAATATAATTAGCTTTAGTTTATCTATATTTGAATGACGTCACGGTGTGTGTACCAGACGGGGGACGTACTCTTCAAAGCACGTACTCTCTCTTCCAAACGATAAATATAATACTTGTGATTCACTTTGAAGGAAATTCTCGTGGCTGGATTTATCGCGAAGCACGCCAGTTCGAGCTAAGGTGCGATCATCGACGTTATCAATAAAACAATCACCTTTGATATCAGATCGTCGATCGTTCGTTACGTTCACTTTTCACCGTCTGTTTCTTTTTATTTTCTCGTTCGCGAAAGCGTGTACTTACGTTATCGACTTCCGAGCACTGACGCCTGTTTCTTCTGCTTGTGCTTTTATTTTCCTTCGGCATGATTACTGACACTTCGCTCTTGCTATCACCACCGGACAGAAATACTCTGCCACTTTGGATACTCGCTTTCTGGACACCGAGCAGTGTACGTTACACCTAGGAAATCACGAATGAAATGGAAATGCAGTGAACTGTGATTTTGTACGAAAGCCAGACAATGGTACCCCTGTATTATGATTGGTAGTTTGGTAAACGAAGAAAAAGAAACTTCGTATTAGAACCTCAAAGGGACGAAGGGTAATTATCCCTTCTGACGACTATTGACCGTAGTGTTTTGTACTCTTACGCTTTCAGGTCAATTCGCTCCCTCGACACCTTACCGCTTATTATTAGACACCCGGATCAGATCATGGTCTACCTGTTTTCTTTTTTATTAAATAATCATTAATTTTCTATTTTACACGGTTTACATGTTTCAATTTTTATAACACAAAATATCCGTCATCGATTGAGTGAAGTTAACGAGGGAGTTTAAGGTAAAGGGCATTGTACGTGCGACCTTTTCGATTGTACCTGCCATCATAATCCCTTCTTTTCTTTCGAGGAATTAGAATTGAAAATTGGGGTCGTTTAAAGTTCCAGCTACGTTATTCTTGCAAGGTTTACTTTTTTCGTGCAGTGAAATTGTCACGAAGAAAGTACAGTATGATGCATAATTTTAATATCAAAAAGGGGGTATTTCGAGGATTTCGCAGTATTACAGAATTTTTCTCATGTACTTTGATGTGCTTGCGATGGTAAAATCTTAACGATTACAGAATACTGTTATAAGATGCAGGCTCACGCAAGCATGCAGACACGCGAGAATGCACGCACGCTACCTACGCATTGCACGTGGCAATTGACAGCTGTGCACACCTGTATGCACACGAGCGTGAGCACGCAAGCATGCAGAGAGCTCTTGCTTTATCATTTTACCACCTTACCATTTTTCGTTATCTTTTAATTCATTCTATTGCAAAATTTCGTTTCAAGTATTCTATTCAAATTAAAAATATCAAGGGATGGAATATTTCAATTAGCTACGTTTATAGTAGCAAATATGTCATGAGTCAACAATGTGTCACTTAAGTTTGTAATAGTAATATTATAGATTTGCTAAGTAGTAAGAAATATTTTTTTTTTAATACGTTTTTTTTCTTTACTCCGTTGTTTGATCTATCGGATTATAGCATAGAAGCAGATAGAGAGCAACATATTATTGGTTCAACGAGAAATCATACCTATCGCGCAACGAGATTTCGTTTGTACTGCGCATGCTTCGTCTGCGCAAGCGCAAAATGGCGCCGCGTAATATACCCAGCGGTCTTATATTCAGTATACTCTTCGACCTTCGACGTTATCAGTTGTTTGAAACAAGCTGCTTCTTTTATTATATATTTTTGTACGCCGTGTATATGACCATGAAGATAGAAGCAAGACTAGAGGGCCTCCCTGAGCTGCGCGAAACAGGTATGTTTTCTCGTTGAACGAATAATAATGTTTCGATGGTGGTTTCTAAGGTCGCGCGCAATTCAACAGAGCATGGCCGCCATATTGACTATATTCTCCCAACCCAGCACCAAGGATGTTTGTGCGTGCCTGGCACGACTGCTGTTACATCGCGGTCGTTGCCGTCGTCATCGCTGTCGTTGTCATTCTCGTTGTCGTTGTTATTCCTGTTGTCATCGTCGACTTTGTTACTCTCGTTGAATTGTAATTGTCATTGACGGATTCGAGCGTCGTGTAATCCGCGACACAGTGTTAACATTTTTGATAGAATTGACACTTGCTGTCCGTGAGATATGTCAAATCAAATATGTCTAAAATGGAACAGTTTTTTAAACAACATCGCCACGAGCTTCGAAAGCCTTTGGGAAGAAGAAGGTCTGGTGGATGTGACATTGGCAAGCGATGGACAGTGTCTTACGGCGCATAAAGTGATTCTCTCGGCTAGCAGTCCTTTTTTCAAGAAAGTTTTCCAGGTTGACTTTCTACGTTATTTTCTTTTTTTAATTTCTTCGACCTTTTGACAATTGTCTCGCTGTCAATCAAAAGTCATTGTCAATCTATATTTAATTGATAAGACATGATAGAGAATTGTATAAAACAAATGTGTTGTATGCTAGTTGAGGTTAACCTATTAACCAATAAATTAACCTGCTAACCCATTATTCTAATCTCTATTGTTACAGACAAATCCCTGTCAACATCCTGTTATAATACTTCAAGATGTGCACTTCAGCGAATTGGAAGCATTACTTATATTTATATATAAAGGGGAGGTAAATATAGAGCAGAAAAATTTACCAGCCCTGTTGAAAGCTGCAGAGACCTTGCAAATTCGTGGGCTTTCCGGGGGAGATATATTTGCTAAAGAATCGTATAAAAGATTAGCAGAACTGGAGCAGGCAGTGGAAGAAAGTGTGGTAACAGCTAAGGAAGAAACTTCAAGAAAGAAACAGAAACTTAATAAACATCAAAATTCTATATTAGAATCAGCATTGACACCTAGAATATCACAGTTAGAAGGGACAGATGAGTCCACAACCAGTGATCAAGGTAAAAAAGAAGGGGATTATCCTCTTCCAAAGAACATGCTTCAAAATCCAATTTATCAGCGTTTGGAAATGAAAGTTAGTAACACTTGAGGATCTTTACATTATAGTAAATTGAATAGTAAACTAACAATTTAATTGATTATGTTTCAGATAGAACCAATAGAAACAGCAGTGGACAATGCTCAGAAACAGCCAGCAACAGATAAAGATCCAGCTGAAAGATTGGACACTTGTCAAAGTGATGGAAATCAAGGTTAGTGACAATTTCAAAATGAAGTTAGATTGGTATTTTATTTGCAGAGTTAATTTTATTTTATAATATTTGCGTGTATTTTATGTGTTCTTCAACATTGCAAAATGTTATTGTTCATATGTGTTTTATGCAAGCATTACATCATAATGCTTATCCAATACCATTAAATGGTATTTGGTATTTCTATTTATGTTTAAATTGTTGTCAAAAGCAAACGAATGTGTATACAGATACACTGCTCATTGAATTGTGCAAGAATTTCAACGTGTCAAGCTTATATCGTTAGGAAGCAGCAAATTTTTTCGATTTTTTTGCTCGACGTTATCCTCGACTGCTTTGTTACTGTAATTCAGTTAGCTTTGATCGTTGTTTCTTCGTTTATCGATATTGGTCTGGCAAGTATTTCTTTCATTTCTTTTGGTTTCGCTTGATGTTCTCAACGAATCGTTAGACGAGAGAGCTACGTAGTTTGATATCTAGAGCCACTTGGCGCTGTACTTGTTCAATTGAATACACGCGATCCTGACTTCTAGTTAATCAAGATTATTGTAGACTTTTTTTTCTCTCGCGTTCAAATGCAAAACATATGCGTGCATGTGTGACATAGGAAAGAAATTGATTTGTTACGCGATAGAGATCGATGGAATCAAAATAGATAATTAAATCTGGTCGAGTTTTGCTTGATTGTTCGGTACGTTGCGAGTGTTGCGCGTCCAGGGGGATTCGTGTCTAAAGCAGGCTGTGCTCTGATGTGTGTGGCAGGGTCTGGGAACAGCCCTGCTGAAGACATTTCCGGTTTATCTGGGTTATCCGGCCTAACTGGATTCTCGGACGTGAAGCCGCTGCTGTACGCGTATCAGCAGCTACCTTACGCCGATCTTCTGCCAAGTCCGGAGATTATCTCAACCTGGGCATCCTCCCGACCGATGGATCATTTGGCCTGTGACCTTATGAAGATTCTCTTTACCCCGGAGGAGAGGATTCTTTGTAACGTGAACGGCAAGATGGGGAAACAGCAGTTCGATAGTAACAAAATACATTTGATAAGGGAAGTTCTGTTGCACTTTAGCGGTATTGCACCGAACAGCGTCGAATGGGAGGAGACGTGGAAAAATTGCGTGACTAAGATCGATACAAGCAATAGGGGTTTGAAAAGGTATCTGTTCCAAAGGCGGTCGGTTTACACTCAATGACTAGGGCGTTTCAGGTCAGGGGTCAAACGGAAACGTTTCCACTGGCTGGAATGAAGTTTTTCTTTCGCGACGATTCCTCGTTTCGATCTATCATAGATCGTGTTAGGATCGTGATGGAAATCGTTCTCGATGGTTCTCCGTATCCTTTCTTCTCTTGCCGAGCCGAACTGTTGGAACGACGATCGCGAATTTTTTTCCTAGAGGAAATAGTATGACACAGATTATAAGAAAGATCGGGCACTGTTGGGGAATTCGTGACGGGGGTACGCGCATAATATAACAGGACTTGAACTTAATGGACTTGACGCTTTTTCGAATAATCGATAGGTAGAACGGAGAGTTTCGACGTAAAGAGCAGAATGTCTTTAAAGAAAGAGAGAGTAGGGAGACGGAGAGCGTTCCAGGCGTGGTCCAATTATCTATACGCTTCACGTTTTGCTTTCACGAGGCAAATGATCGTGCAACTTTAAATCCTTTCGTTTTTTTCAAATGAGTCTAACATTGTTTTTTTTCATTTTGGTATCGAAAGGTAAATCACTTTTTTTTTTTTCTCTTGTACCTTGGGTCTCGTACTTTGAGCAACGCAACATTCCTTTCTATCGTTTCTTCACGATGTTCACGCGAATATGCACTTTCGTCGTAGACGATCCACAGTAACACGTGTATACTAATATTAAAACGCGATGTGCCGTAGTGGCACACGCGGGGTCTTTCTTACATTCGACGGCACGATAAGTATATACAGTTACGTGCATAGATTCCTTCACCTGGCAGAGAGAAACTATCTATGTCTGCGACTGTACGGTCACCTGATCAACGTACGCGAGTAGCTAGATACATAGGTGTACGTGTAGCTGCGTACTGCAGACACCTGCAACGCACGCGATTAGACGTAGGGAAACGCGTGTTGCACGAAAAGACAACGCGTCCATCTGATCAGACATGTGCGTGCACATGATCACGACTTAACGCACAGGGTGTTAAGAAAGTAATAGTCATAGTTTACAGAGGTGAACTTTATCCCGGACCTTCGCCAGAGTTTCAAGAAATCTACACATAGGATCACCTAAAGTTAGGAGACAAAGTTTATATGTATAGTTAGGTTTCTTTGCAGATATCTGCCTCTGCAAGTGATGGTTATTAATTACTTAACACCTTGTATATGTAAATGAGAAAAAGTAGCTGTTACGTTGAGAGTAGTAGCATAAGTTTAGGGATCCGTGGAACATAGGGGCAATTTAAATCGAACCCGAGATCCTTGAGTTCGTAGCTGGCTACGTTGTCCATTAATGTCTATGCCTAATTCCACGATTCCTCTTATCGGGTATGGGGGTCCTAATCCCACGTAAGTTATGCTTGTAGAATATATTTAACGCGTGAACGGATCACGCGAAAGACACTTTTGAAAAGTTTATTTTCAACTGAACGAACAGATTTGTTTTACCTTGTTTGTTTGCCACCTCTTTCGTCGATTGATCTCGCGGAGAGCATGATACGCTTCGAATTGACTGTTCATTTGAATCAGATACGATTGTAGACGAAACACACACGCGACTGGTTGCAAATAAACCTATTTTACATTTTTAATCGTCTCGTCATTTCCCGGTGCTCTGTTCCCCCGTGTACGCCTTTGACTTACTTTTGTATCCCACTGGAAAATCGAACGAATAAACTTTTGAGTATCCTGCGAATTCGTCGCATCCTTCATCCAAAGAAGACTCCTCCATATTTGCTCGAAAAGAAGACTCCTCGTCTATTTTTGATCGAAAAGAAGACCCCTCATCCTGAAGATAGAAGATCCTGAATCTGCCATTCCTCGTCTGAACTCCTTCCACTTCCACGTCGAGTTTGATCGAACGAAGAAAATTTGAAGTCGCAGACTGGAATTACTTGCAGGATCTTCAAAGCCGAGCGCAACCGCGATCGCCGATGCTCGAGAGACATCGACGCCTTCGCCAGAGCCACGAGCATCGAGACCTCCGATAATCCTCGAACGAACTCCACCTTGGAACACCTCTCGAACCACAGAGGCACTTTATTCATCGAATCGTTCGTATTCGGAGCCAACGTTGGATCAACAGGAATCTACAAACGTTACGATGGAACAGGACTCCAGATTTCTCCGTTCCGTGTTTCCAACTTGTCCCGGAACTGCTGGCAGTTCAGACTTGCCGGAAGAGACTGTACAAGGTACTGCCGCGTATCCACCGTTTCCCTGTCCCTTCTGCGATAGGACGTACACGAGCTGGGGCTTTCGACGAAGACACATCAAAGCCGTCCACACGATTTCACCGTCGCTTAATTGCAAATGGTGTCTCCAGGTACGTAGGCAAGATTAAGAATCTATAGGAAGCAGGATAAGGATACTGTTTAATAAGGCTTGAATTGAATAGGATCATTTTTTTTGTAGGTTCTCCCTACGCATGCGGATTGGAGGCGCCATGTAATATTGGCACACAATCTTTCAGCTAAGGATGCTGATAATGGCCTGTTAATTTTGGGGGAAGCACACATGGTGCTCCAAAATGTGCGTCCCACACGGTTGCACGCCTTAGTTAATATAATTAAACAGAATTCTCAACAGAACAATAATCAGGATAATAATCCTCAGGCTGATAAAGATTGAGATTAATATTGGGTTGTGCAGTGGAGGACAGTGTTCAGGTTGTTTATTTGTTAATTAAATTTTCTATTAATCGGAACGCATCGAATTGCGTTTGTATTCGAACAAATTTATATTTTTATACGTTATTATAAAGGAGCATGCTGTCCTCGTTTTTTTGAAGAGTACAGAATGCTATTGCGAGTATTATAATTACCATAATTCCTCTGTGATTCGTAACGAACAAGAATATGGTTTATTGTTATCATTTTTTAAAATGTATATTCATATTGTATTGTATATATCGCTTTCATAGTCATTATCGACGGCCAGTATCGCGTTGCAGGGTGGAAAATATTTTTATCGTTGTACGGACTAAAATTTTATAAGACGAGTAATAAAAATGTTTATTATTATTATTGGTTGAGAATGTTGCGTTGCATATGGTACGAGAAATTGTAGGAAGGATTGGAAGGAAAGATGATTAGCCTCAGAGATGAAACTAGGGTGCTTTTTAACTCTTTATTCTTTAAAATTCTTGACAATCGTGCATCAGTCGGTTGAAACTTTTATAAATATTTAACTTCGTAAAAGTGAGAGGAGTTTCGTGCTTTGCAAATAAATAGAACCGATCGTGCTGGGTGCACCTTTTCGATAATAATTCGATTTCATCGATGAATGTGAATTGCGTGCTATAAAAGGGGTACGGAAGCATCGTTTCGAATTCGAAATAGAAACTTGATCACTTTTAAGAGCACGACAGAATCGCGTATCGTCGTACTAATTATCAGGATGGTAACAGGAATCGTTTTCTCGTTTTGTCACAATTTTTTCGTAATCGTGCGAATGAAAATTTGACTGAATCTTAATCGAATGCGTATGTGACCGATATAAAAAGAGGACGATGAAATGCTGCGCGTCGGTAAGGAGCATTGCTAACTGTTCGAGAACATAGGGACGTCTTTGGAAATCTGATTCACCTGTGAAAAATTATTGTACATTGGACAAGAATTGCGGACATGACGGTCGCTCGAGGCGCAGATAGAAATTACAAAAGAAGCGTTGTATCGACGAGTCGTTCGTGTTCGTTTAGAAAAAGGAAAACCCAAAGAGAAAAGCACTAAAAAAATATACAATGTATGTACATATTTGTGGATAAAAAGAATCTCTCCGAGTCAGCAACGTTGGTGGATTTTGGGTATCAATCATTCAATTCGATCATACGAGTCGTGCATTTGTTTCCATCGGGACATCTACAGCAGGTATCTTTACAAGCTTCTCTTTCTCTTCTCCTCCTCTTCCTATCTGTTTTATTCTGTTTTATTCTTATGCGACATTCGCAATTCCAACTGGGTCCAGTTTTTCTGTCGTGATTCGACACGTAAGAAGAGTTCTTTGTTTGTTTCGCCGAGTACCATCGTTCTAACAAATAAGTTTCCCTATTTTTCGTCGCTGCCCGCTTCTTCGATCGGTACCGAAAACTTAGAAAAATTATTCCCATTACTTGTATATTTCATTACCGGATTCTTAGTTGGTAATCGAATGGAACGGGACACAGTTTACACGCGAATTGTGTTCGGAAGGAAACGTTCGTTGTTTACAATTCGGCGACGTAACCTTCGACAACGATTCCCGGAGCAATCTCCGCGGTGACACTCTCCGCAGTCGTTTTGCTTCGTTCACCCGTGTGGGGTCGATCCTCACCCCAAGCTCCTTCTTTCCCATATTTCTCAGACATTCTTACCATCTCGTTTGGACTCCACTCGGCGGAGTCTCGTCGACTTCCTCCGCTTCTGTACACAACGTTCGACTCGTTTTCGCGGGTTCCACGGTATCTGGAACCTGGCAGTGGTGACGGGGAATAGCTATCGTAGACGGGGGTACGTTTCATCGATGCTCGATGGTGACTGGTTTTCCTCAGCATCGCCTGGAACAGAGCAACATCGACGTATCGTTTCAGGGGTGGTAGGTTGTTGAGATCTAACTCGATACCATATTTTTCGGGGGTTGAGTTTGTTCATTTTCTCATACTGTAAGTGTGATAAAAATCAGTGCCTGATATTCTTAATAATCTGTATTATTCTGTGTCTGACTATACGTTGATATTTCTACTGTGGCAAACAGAGGACAAGTTGTCTGGGACAGTGAAAGTGAACGTACTCGGCTAGACACATTGTAATAACAATTATTCCGTATATCATCGTTCAATTTTTCAAAGTTTACAATTTGTTACTTGACGTTATTGCAACAAATTCCACGCACCTGAAAATTGAACGGTGGCTCGTCGTCGTCGTTACCGACATTGTTGTTCCTACGACCTATCATTTGCAATTCCTGTATCGGATTGACACTGAAAGGGGTAAAAGAGAAGGATTAGGGTTGTTTGTCAAACAGGTCGAGCGAGATTCACTCGTAGGTAGTGTAATCGAACCGATTAACATTGCCGGCGTTTCTGTTAATTCTGTCCTCGAACTCCCATTCGTTGCTACCGGTGTCTACGTTGCTTTTACTTCGAGCGTCCGAACTGTAATTGTCGGTGCTACGCGTCGGGGGTGGTTGCGACTGATTGAACGGAATAGGCGGTGGCGGTGCGTGTTTTCTAGAGCGTATCGACCCAGTGCTATCGTAATTATTCTGAAAATACACACGGTCAGAGTATCGATACCGAGGACACGGATAGAAGATAAATAAACAGAGAGACAGGACGGACGAGTTAGGACAAAGTGGGTGATCGATATCGTCGAACTTACTGAGCGAGGATTGTGAGCGTTAGCAGATGGTACGGGACTACGGTTGCTCGGAACTTGTTGATACCCGGTGTTACCCATTCTGCTTCGGGCTGATTCTTCCGGTGGACATCGGACCGAGATATTCGGGTCTCTGGAAAACGGAGTGTTGATCAGACTCTGTCCCTCGGCGCCTGAATTCGCCACTCGATGTGGCGAGTTCGTTGTTTGAACCTCGACGTCTGAAAAATGCAGAGCAATCCAATGGAGAGTGAGTTCTCTCCCGAGTGAAATAGTCGCCACTCGGCACAGGCAATCGAGATTTTTCTGTCTCAGTTTCTCTCGGACCGTCCTCGGAAGACCCAAACGCGCGCTTCTCTTAACCGTAAAACGATCGTGCGCGAAAGCGAATTCTCGCGACGATAAACTTTTAAGTGACACTATACCCGGCAGGGACACCTTGTTATTACGACTGAAAGAGAAAGAGAATCTGATGAAAATGCACCGAGTCGGACGAACTATACAGAGTGAGGTGTAACAATTATACAGGCTCTTTCAAAGAAGAAAAAGTATGTTGAGACAGCCTGTATATCGTTCGCGCGCCTAATCAGTTGTTCTCTAATCAGAGGCGCACCCTGTACCAACGATCGTCGGACTCGGATCGGATAAAGAAAAGAAAAGAAAAAGAAGAGCGAGAGACTTGATAGTGTAGGGTAAACGTATGTATGGAGTAAAAGAGTTGTATGTTCCTGAATATGAATAGTGGCGTACGATCGGGTATCGGTATCGATGCAGCTTCACGGGAATGAAACAAAATGTGATAGGCACCTCTGGTACGAGTGTTCCTGTTGGCCCAAGGCACCGTTTGTCTCCGTAATGGCGCGTCCCAGGCTTCGTGCTCATCGTCAGACGCCGATGACGCGGATCTGCGAGAACGTATTTCTCAGTTGACGCCACAACCCTCCGCAGACATTCTTAAGCGGCTTTTAAACTCGATAGAGACGGCACACACAACGAGAAAGGAGAGCGTGACTTGTTGTGCAAATTAACAAAATGAAATTTAAAAAAAAAATGAATAAGAAAATACAACACGTGGAAGCGCGTGACAAAAGGACAAAGCAAGAAACGTCGATTATAACGACGCGTATACACACCACGGACTACACGAAGCTCTCTCTGTCGTTCAACCATTCTTTATTTTATTTCTTTTTTTTTTTTTAAATATTCTATTCCTATTGGATAGAATAAGGAAACACGAACACAAGACACGGAGAACTAACTACGCACACGATACGATATTCAAATGGTGAATGACGTCTAATGATGAGGATCGAAACTAATCAACGAATCAGCACGAGTGTCGTCTAAGTTTTCTTTCCGATCGATTCAGGCCCACTAGTGGACCCCTCGTTTTTTTTTTTTTTTACAGCTACGACTAACTGAATAAAGACACTCACGATGGAAATCACTTAAAATCGACTCACCCCAGACCCATCCCCATGCTCGAATCCGGGATGGGTAACTCGTTATAAAAGTTGAAGGGTAACTTGTGCACTTCGGGTGGTCTCATGTGGCCTAAGTACACGGACGCGGAAACGTTAGGCTCCACTTTGTCTAAGGATATTTGATTATTCGTCTGCGTCAGACTTCCCACTATCGCTTGATTGAACAGATGAACCTGTTTAAGAGATTAGTATTAGAACGAATGTTAGATGTGTATCAAGGTTAACCCTTTCGCTACGACGGGCGACTATAGTCGCTTTCCATAAGATACCATTGATGTACAGGGTGTCCCAGCATTGGTAGTACAATCTAGGAGAAGTTTTTATATGAAAAAACAAATCGAAAATAAAGAAAAATCTTTTCATTTGAGGCTTCGTGCTCGAGAAAATCAGTTTTGAATTAGATGGATGGATCTCGATAGAAGTTATATGTCACTTATAAGTAGTAGTAATATCATTAGTATTAACATGATATGCTGTATTACTTATTTCTACCTATGGATTTAGAGTGGACTTAAATGAAAATAAGACATGTAATTTAGTTACTAACTTACTTTATTAATGCAAAAATTGTTGGAAATGCTACTAATTGTGATACTAATGATATTAGTACTACTTATAAGTGACATATGACTTCTACACGTACTCGCTAAAACACGTTCAGTCAAAATTGATTTTCTCAAGAACAAAGCTTCAAATAAAAAAATTTGTTTCTTTATTTTCGATTTGCTTTTTCATGTAAAATCTCCCCTCGGTTGTACTACCGATGCTGGGACACCAAGTATAATACAACGGGCGACTATAGTCGCTCGCTCTCTTTCATACTGTATCTCTCTCTGAACTTATAATTTCGATCTTCTCGTGTTTTTTCTGATTTGTGAAGAAATCATAAATCCTCTTTTATAGAAAGTGTTTCTTCCTCCAAAAAACTGAATGTCAATCGCTGACAACCGTCCTCGCATAATTTTAGCGGTAGCGTTACGGCAGACGAGCGTTACGAGCTCGTAGTAAAAGGGTTAAAGAGTAACGTACTCACTTGTTGCGAGAATTGCACGAGGTCTTGATACCGGGCTGCACGGTAACGTAGGAGGACTTGGAATATACTCTTCGATCTCCATTTGCTGCTGTAAAACTTCATCATGTCCATCATTTGCGGATCCATCGGGCCTTTCCCTAGTTGAGGCGCCATCTCCTTCCTCACTGCATGACCCCTGTATGCTGTATTTGATGAAATTACACATTTGGTAAGATAGCAATTTCGATGAAACGTTTACGGTACAGTAACGAGTACGATGGAACACGTTCGATGAAAATCACTTGCTACTCTATTAGGCTCGTCAAAAATCAAATTCTTCTCTTTCCATTAATTACTATCCGTTCGTCCTACCTTTCTGAATCATTACCGCTGCCTGATCTTCCGACAGTTCCACCGACGCTTCTTTCTTCTTTATAGACGCTTTCTTCACTGAAACAATACCTGTTAAATTTCTCGTAACCAATGGAAAACGTACGAGCCATTCGATGGTAAAAAGAAAAGAAAAAGAGAGAGAAACGAAACGTATAATGTAACCGGCTCGTACCCAATGTTTTCTTGTTCTTCATAAATCGGTTTACCTACCGACTTCTTTCTTTACGGTCGACGTGATTTTCGATGCCATGCTTTTACGTGCTAAAAACGCTCTCATCATACATTGAACTTTTACTATCTTTTTCACCTGCGTTTCGTACAAACGCGACAGGTACTCCTCGTTGTAATACTTCAGAAACACTTTCGTTTTCCCTATCACCCAACCTTCCATTTTCAATCGGATCAATAATAGTCGGCAGTTATCTTTCGTGATTTCGACGTTTTCGTCGAAATCGAACGCTAAGAATTGATATCTAAACATAAGAATAATACAGGATTATTGAAAATGAACGTCGATAATTGAGACACTAATTTACTACTTTTACTACCTTCGAAGAAATTCTGGAAAGCTTATTCTGTGCGGGTAGCCACGTTGCCTGGCTTTGGCAGTGTCGAGAATAGCCAACGCTCTGATTTGTTGCCTAACTACCTCGCGATAAAAGCCACGAGGCGCCCCCTCGAGATCGGATCTGATGCACCTGATAAAATGGATACCACCACTTCCGCTACCTGTCGAAAGGTTCTTAAGGATTTCAAGGCTGGTGGATTTAAAGGTAGCCGCGGACGTTCTCATTTTCCGTGTCTGCGAGTATTGCCCTCGGGATGCGGTGTTATATCTCTGTTTGTAAAATAACAATCGCGAAGTGATCATATTTTTACGCTGTAATTCGTTCCTATTTCTTTTTTTTTTCTACACCGTATTCGTTTTTCTTTAGTACGAGTAAGCAAGGGGTTAACAGAGGTGTAGGAGAGGGAAGAAAAAGGCGTTTCGCCTCGGGATCGTCAGTTAAATTCGTCAGTGGGGCTGACAACAGACGATCCCTGCCCCAGATATTTCTTTTTTTATGGGGGAGGAAATACTGTCGCACTATTCGGCTAAGGGCAGTGGGACTCATACCACCCAGAAGGGATGATACACTAACACCCATACCGCAATTCGGAACTCCGATATATTCGAATTGCATGCGACCGCCAGCGAGAACACTGTCCCCGCTCATCTCTCGCCGCCATCTAGCGGTCCCCGGCCCGAACTAAAGGCGTCCGGGGAGACGAAAGCCCCTCTCCCCCTCCACTAAACGCTTACAAAGGAGAGGCGAAGAACCAAGCGTTTCTTACCTTCGGTTTCGCCGTTTCCTGCATAAGCGCGCCCCACTTTCCTTTGCTCGTCTTTTTATCAGCGACCTTCGGATGCTCGACGACGATGGTCAGGTTTCCGGTTTTCGTCAGCTTGTTCGTGAACATTTCCTTCATGGTCTCGATACTAGATTGCCTGAGCGTTTCGATCATTTCCGGCGGTATGAAGTCACGATTCTTCTCGGCCATTTCGCTAGCGTCGTAAATCAATTTGCCCGTGTAATGAGCTACGGTGAACTCGTGAGAGCTCGCTGCTTTTATATAAACGTTCTCCGCACGTTGTTCCAGTTTATTCATTATGTACTGATAATCGAGCATATGCTTCGACGCGTCGTCGATCACGCTGAATAAACCTCTGTCCTTGCTCATTAGATGATCTATCGCGTCCTTGTTGTCGTAAAAGTGTAAACGTTGAACGGGTATATCTTCTTCCTCTTGCTCTTGCTACGAATCAACGTCATTGCTAGAATTCATTCGAATTTTTTACAATTTCACCCTTCGAACACTTACCATTTCCCAGGCGAACACCCTTTGATTGTAATAGCACTGCATCTGTTCGTTCATGGTGTTTACTATCAGCTGTTCCAATCGATTCACCGCGAAACACTCGAATCCAAACAGGTCCATCACGTTGATCACATATTTGTCTCCACTAAAAGATCAACACTGTTATCTGTTGTGTTCGTAAAGATGACGAGCGCATCGGCAAACGATGACAAGAATATTTTTAACGAACGTTTCGCATGTGAACTCACAATAAAGTACGAGTGACCGTGAATTTATGATTGATGGTGTTTACTATCCAGTCAACTAATCTCTGGTAAATCGTGTTTGCTAGCACGTCTCTTGCCTCTTTCGCTTCATCGCAGGTGTGCTTTTTGCGCACCACGGCGCCACCGCTAATTATACAGTAATTTAACAACGCCCAGATAAACTTCTTTTCGTCCAGATTCAGCAGTTGAGCCACTGCGGAGTACGAGGAAACGTTCGATTATTGATTTCGAATTATTTATTCCGTGTACTGTTCGGAGATCGTAAGTTGTCGTCCAATCAAATTCGTAGTCACGCGTGTTATGTTTATTGGCCGAGGCCCTTACATCCACAAATCTATCGCGTGACGAACGTCGCTAATTGAAACAGAATGACATGAAACGATAGCGAGATTTACATATTCTCGGGGTTTATATTATTAAGAAAACAGGAGAGTTTTTACACTTTCCATAATGTAATTTCCATAAATTTTGCATAATATCGACTATTGTTAAGAATAAGTATTATAAAAAATCCATTAATGTGACCACTGACTTCGCAAGTTGCGGATACCTAGAGGCACAGTCCCCTTGCCCCTCTGTCGTTCAGTTTGTCGGTGCTCGGCAATTAACGACCTCCGAACAGTACATTAGCTCGTATACCTCTGTTAGCCGCGTCGTTGTTATCCATATCAGCCTCTCCGTTGTTACCTTCGACGAATCGAATCTCTCCCAAAGTCAAAATCGCCGCCATCACCTTCCATATCGTTTCACAATACTCATCCATCTCTAAGATTTTTAGATTCTCCTTCAGCTCTTCGAACTTGACCACGTTCCCGCGTGGATCGTTCCTAACTTTAAACGATCGTTTCCTTTCCGTTCCCTTCTCGCTAATTCGAAGATACCTCATCCTTCTTCCGGCCGGTAGATTGTACTGTTTCAATTTGTTCGTGGCGTCGAGACCGTCGTAAAAATAGTAGAACACGTGAAAATTCGATTGGTTTCTGTTGAGAACGTATTGAAAGCGTGACTAGCGTGTCGATTCGAGAAACTTACTAAATTAACCCTTTGCACTCGACAGGTTAACTAGATCGCATCTAAGGTTTGCATTAAGCTTACCGAAGTAAGGCTAATAAAGTTGGCAGAGTACATTAAAGCTATTACCTTTCACCACGGTTCCTCTGGAATCTGGAATAGAAGCAACGCAGGAAACTATTGGCTATTTCCTTAAAGCAAATAAAAGGACCTTCGAGTGCAAAGAGTTAACAGTTTCACTCGCGATCTGGAAATCTAATTTCGTACAAGTTTCAATTGTTCGAAATCAATCGATGGTCTGAGCAACGCGAACAGACATTCGAAAGATCTACCTGTCGCGAGTAGAAACACGCCATTTTTCCAGCTGATACAACCAAAATATGCCACCGGACGCTTTGCCAGACGATCCGTAGGTGGTTTGTATTTGCAACACGCATCTGGTCGAATTAGGATTTAGCGGCGTGGCAGCGTTGCTGAACGCGTGAAGCACCTTTATAGCTTTCATCAGCCTAGCACCGGTATCTTGCAGGCTCTGAAGTTCAACGAAACTCCTATTCACGTGACGAATCGTTCGAGCTATGTCCCTTCAGCTTACCTTTCCCAGATACATCAGATGCTCTATGAGATACAACATGTTCGTCGTTTTTCCTGAATTACTCTCTCCGGCTAATAGGATGTGTTGAGGCTCTTCGTTGTGCAGCACATCCTGAAAAGCGCTATCTCCTACCGAGAATATGTGAGGCGCGTTATCCGATCGAGATTTGCACTGGTACTTGGTGTGATACTGCAAGAAAATGATAAACCTTAATTGACGTTATTCAAACCCTATCAATCCGAGGTGATTGAACGTGAAATATCTCACATCAGACCCATAAATGTCCTGTTTCTCGTTCGGATTTAAAATCAACAGGATATCACCGATGAAACTATGGTAATAACCTTGCCGCAATCGTTCGTGCAGTTCGTCCAAAATCGCGTCCTCCGTGAGTGTCTCGAGTGCCGCGAGATCTTCCATAAACATAGGCTCCAGAGGATCCGTTTGATGGGTCTGAATCATGAAACAAAAAGCAGAGAGATATCGTACGTCCGGTAATAAAGATGTTTGTTTAAAATATTACCTTTAGGAAACCCTTTCGAACTATCACTTCCGGTCTCCTTTCCTGTCTACCTTTCGTACCAACGTCCATCATCAGTATCTTGATCTCTTTCGTCATCTAGAAACAATGTTGGTCGTTTGCCTCCTTATTATTTCGATTATTTCATTTTCTACGAGATTGTCGTCAGTTACCAGAAAATCGTCCTCGGGTATATCGGCTAGAAAAGGATGCTCGGCTATTTCCGCCATGTACGGTCTGTTTTCCGGATTCTTCTCGAGACATCTGAAAATCGTCAAGTCTTTCGTGGATCTTCTTTCAAACTTCTCGCACCTTAGAACACTTACTCGGCAATGAAGTCGTTGAAATTTTGCGACCAATTCGAGGGTCTGTACAAATTTGGCGGGGGATTGCGAACGATTTGAAAAAGCGCTCTGGTTGGATGCATGTCCTGAAACGGTGGTTTCCCGTCAGCTATCTCGATCGCGGTGATACCGACCGCCCAAACGTCTGCGCGGTTTCCATAACCGGCATCCGATGTGTTCCCTTTGCTCGCTGCCACTTCCGGTGCCATCCAACACGGCGATCCGATACACGTGTAACGTTTACCCATTTCACTTTGAACCATCCTCGACAATCCAAAATCGACCAGCTTCACTTCACCCTCCCTCGTCAGCACGATATTATTGCCACGTATGTCACGGTGCATCACGTTGTTCTCGTGCAGAAAGGCCATCGCCTGGTGATAGAAAATGATCGTTGATTCAGCCGTTTGGTCTATGAGGGGGAAGAGAATAAGAAACGGAATCGGAATCGGATAGCAGGTTCGGTTAGGTTTTACGCTTTCCTCTAGACAGCGGGGTGGCTCGTTTTCTTCGCGAGCATTTATTTCGCGTGTAATTTGCCGGCATTAAACGTCACCGTGGCCTGATTTACCGCACGAGCGACCGTGGACGAATCGCTACTGGGACCATGGAACACGTACCAACGGGAACAAGAAGACGAAGAGAGGAAGGGGTTGTTGCGTCCACTTTACGAGAAAGGATGGCGAGACAGAGAGAAAGGGAGGAGATTCGAGAGGACTAAGAACCCGGGAAGAACGCTATGCCCGTACACGTGCTTGCAATCTTGTACAGAGTTCCAAAAGCAACTGTATCAAAATTTTTACCGTACCCCTTCGCACGACTCGAATACTCGAAGGAAGTTCGAGGGGGAGCCCGGGTTCGCGAGGTTCCCACGGCAAGGATAATTAGCAGAACCCATCGATTTTACGCGATCCCATCGTTTTTGCCGCGGACCGGTACGATGCACCAACTCCGTACGGAACGGAAGGGAAACGGTGCACGATTCGAAACGGAAACGCGCGTTTTATCTTCGACACCGATGCGGGTTGCAGCGGCGTTTGACGAGCAAATGACACCCGTCCACTTCGCTCTCCAGTAGCAGTTTTTCCTTAATCGTTTCCTTTCTCTTTCTTACTTTTCCGCTGTTGTTTCTCTGGAATAGGATTACCTGGATCACTTCCCTCAAGATGAAACCTATATGCTCCTCGCGCATCTTCTTGTCCTTGGATAACAGGCCGTGAACGAGGTCCATCACAGTTCCACCGTCGCAAAGCTGAAAATTATACAACGAAAACTGATAATTATCTGTTCGTTGTGTACGCGTGTCCAAGCATCATATTGTAATTATAGTTCGTCAATGTAATTTTCGATTTGCATTGCTTCTTCTCCTCGTCTTACCGACTGCTTGGCATTGCCCGTGAAATTGCGGAAGTAATCTAAATCGACTACCCGGAACGGAGGTCAATGTTCCCCGTGGTTTTATATAATTACTTGGCATCTCTACATCTTCATTTTACCGTTCCTATTTCTATCTCTTAACCCTTTCGCTGCCACGGCGGTCCCATGGGATCAATGCTTGTCTTTTCATTTGGGCCATGGTGGTCACCAGTGATTATTTTAATACATTTCGCAGTTCTTGGTCATTATAAAATTTTTAATATGAAATTTCTGGCCCACTGGTCCAAGTTCAAAAATTCGCTTGGCAGCGAAAGGGTTAACGCAGTTATAGAGCACACTTTGTAACTGGAATCCGAATGTTTTAATAATTTTATTACTCTTTCGTCCTCATCGTACATATTTTCGATTGATCCCGAATGAATCAGAAGCATTTGGTACGAGCTTCGAGCAGACACAGCAAGCACGCGATGCACTCCGGTGGATGCATTCTTTCGAGCAAAGGTGCATCGACTGCGGCACGAAAAGTTCGTCTACTGGCGAACAGTTTCTGTATACGTGCCCGTAAAACTTGCTCGTGATACGATATGAAATACCATCGGCGATAAATCTTTGCCACATTGTCGTTGCGTGTCGTTCCTCCTTTTACAACCCGCCTCTCGGCTTCCCTTTTTCTTCTCCGCGCTACTCTTACCTGCCCGAACGTTTGCACAGCTTTTTGCTGCAATCGATTGATTCGCGAAATCGTTACTTGCAGTTATCGTACACCTGTTTCTTTGTCGGGTTCTTTGGTATCGAAGAATCGATTCATCAAATCACTCTATTAGCACCTTTGCGTTCTTAGACGTCAACTAATTGTTCCAACACTTTCGGATTCTTTTGGTTAAACGCGAGGAGTTTAGAGAGAAACAGGAGCGAGTTTGGGAGATTGAGAGCTCGCACGAATTCGCGTTAAACGAAACATCGACGCTTTTGCTCGAGATAAGTAATAATATTTCGGGCTCACCGCGGAGGTCCACCCGTAAATTAGGTCCGCGACGTGCCGGGGCTCACCTGCGTACACGAACGAGTTTAATGATTGTTTAATGGCCGCGCGTGTCGTAAATTATCCGTGTATTCGACCGTCTCAAATGCTTGAAATTGCCTCCGGGTCCTGGCATGGCTACGTACAGCAACTCTTCCCTTCCACCTTGCCTTCCTTTTCTCTTTATTTCTCTCTTTCTTCTCCTCCCTCCGCCCCCATTCTTCACAATCCCACACTCTTGTACCCTGTCTGTTCTCGATCTCGCAGCTTTTCTTTCTTTTTCTCTTCGAAGAATTACGATGTTAAAGGAGTGGCTGTTTTACGCATAGATTTCGAAATCGACGTTCAAAACGTTCCATACAATCGTCGATCGTGCTCGTCGAAATGTTTACAGTCGACCTGGCTTATGTTCTCAGAAATCTAATAAGAATTCGAGCTTACCTCCATCACGAACCATATTTGATCGTACTCGGTCTTCTTGCCGGATCTCCTACGATAGATTCCATAAAAGTCTGGCAGGTTTGGGTGGGTTGCGAAATCCCGAAGGACTTTGTATTCCTCGATGATCAGAGACTGCGATTCAGGTGTAAGCTTTTGCACCTTCACAGCAACCTTCTTGTTTCCTATAAAATGATTCTGGTGTTATGGATGTCCTTTCGGTGGGGAAAGGGTATCGTACCTGCTTGCTGATCGATGGCTTCGTAAACGTCTCCACAGACACCAGATCCTATGCACTCCCTGAGAAGGTAACGTTTTCCAGGGTCTTGAATACTATCCAGACGCTGTAGGGTGTTTCTTCCTCGATCATCGTAATTGTCATCGTCACCTCTGCTTCTTGAACGTCTCTGATCTGATCCACCCCTCCTGCCGTATCCGTATTCGCTCATCTTCGATCCTTTCAATGGCTACCTGAACATCGTTACACGTTTCATAAGTACATCAAAATCGTTCATTCGATATGCAACAATCTAATAAATACTTCGCTAACGGGAACAAACACGCGAGTCGCTGTAAAAATCGGGTGAAAACGAGAGGAAAAATTGTTATCGTTTCGAGTAGCGGAATAATTGGGTGTTCGATAGAAAGGAGACGGATATCTGTTGCGAAAGACAAAAGAGCGTAAAGAAAGAAAAAGAGAAATGAAAGCAGATTGGAAAAATAAAATTTAAACGATTCAGATTGAACCGGATCGAGGAAAAATAGATTAAAAACTCTCGAGGTTCTTTGTACTTCGCGATGGAAGGCTGATAACAAAAAGTTCATTAATTTTGTTCTCGTTTCCGGAACAGAGTGGATGGAGGCAGGGACACCAAGAGGTGGTCGACGTACGCTCTTAACGCTCGCGAGGAAAACCAGGACCTCTTTCCATCCGTTCGAACGTGGAGAGTAGAGAAGGTCGAGAATGACTCTTCGGAAGAGAATGCTCTACGGATTTTTTTACGAGAGGCCAGGTTCGGCCGGTCGAGGGCTTCACGGCACATCGGTACAAAGGTGAGTGCTAATTATATTCTTTCTCGAGTGCCGCGTGAACGAGTGGTAATCGCTAATTAGTAGCTAGGCTTCCTGAAAGCTTCTACGAGGGAAGCGTAAAGCCACCGGATCGTTCCGCTGGATATCCCGTTTCACTTTCGACAGATTCAAATTTATCAACTTTCTTATGGAAACTCTCTTATAGAAGCCAAGTTTTATTCCTGCTTTAGAAACGAACGATCGTATAAGTACAGACGAGAGTATTTATAACGCGTACCTTCTATCGACTCGATCGTCAGGTAACACCGCGACGTGTGAGTACGACGGAACTTGCGGGATTTCTGTGGCTTTCCGTGTCGAACTTATCGGTGAACGAGGGAAAAAAATGCACGATAGAAAATGAACAAATTTATCACGAACTTAGATAATTGAATATATCTCAGAGAATTATTCGTTATTTTGTTATAAAATGAAAGAAGAAGAAGAATCGTTGGTTATAAAAATCAGAATCGATACCCAAGCGCCAGTGGTATATTTCGTTTTACTATCCCGTGTCCCTGCTGGGTACTTGTAGGGCTGCGGAAACGCCGCAGGGTAACACATATCCCATTTATCGGATCCCACGGATTGCGTAAGAGTATTTAATGAGTTACGCGAGACCGTGGGTAACGGGTGGCTCGCTTAGCAGCTTTACCAAAGACACGATCGATGAGGTTCTACATTCGTAGACCTCTGACGAGGACCTCCTCGTTTTCTTCGCGTATCCGTTATCGCGGCGAGCAGTTGATAAGCTTCCTTGCCAAGTGTCCTCGTTATTGGATCTTTAACACCGTTCGTGCGATTTTTCGGCTTAACAATCCATCTTTAACATTTATCGAAGTAATTCTCTCTTAAAATAATCTTCCCACGATGTAATTCTAGCACCGAAGTTGTCTTTCATGAAGCAATTTTCACCCTGAAGTAATCTTCCCGCGACGAGAGAGTGATCCTTGATGAGATCTTCGTGAAAGATGCATAAACATGAGAGGGAATTGAGAAAAACGCTTCGTCTTCGAGTGATACTCGAGTAAAATTCTGGAATCCTTTCTAATCCAATCAAAAAGAGACTTTCCCTCGATTATCGATCCCGAAGAAACGGTGTGGCTCGAATCCGCGGCCTCTGGTCAGCGAGAAAAGCCGTGGTGAGTCTGAAAAGGAAAAGAGAAGGGCGAGAAATGAGAGGATTCGCGTCGTTAGCCAATTCATTTATTCTCGGTGGGTCGGCGCTCGTCCGGCATAATCCGTCGATTTGTCGGCGCGGCGTGTCTCGTGTAATGCTGTTTCTTGCCGCTTGTAATCGAACAGGGAAAGGGTTAGGGAGAAAAAGAGAAGGAGAGAGAGAAAGGGTGACGCGTCACTGACTATATGTGAACGAAGGAACGTAAGAAACTCAAGTTGATCCACGATGTCCACACGGTGCATCTCTTCTCTTCCCTTCTTTTCTCTTCTTTCTCCTCTGCCTTCTGCCTTCTGCTTCTGTTTCTGCATCTTCTTCCTTTTCCTGCTGGCGTTGAGCCGTGCAGGTTTATCGGTACGACAGGGCGTTAAATTATTGATGCCCGACCGCGCGTCGCGAGAAGACGAACGAGAAGAAAAGAGGGAGAATAGCAGGGTGGTAAGGACGGGTCCCGTGATTTCAGAAAAAGCTTTCCGTGCCACTCGGTCCATCGGTTCTTTCTCTTCGTCTTGGTTCACTGTTGGTTGTCCTCTCTGTTTTCTTCTTCATCCTTGGCCTTGCTCGTCGCGTCTCGTCCAGGGTTCGAGATCTTTAAAAGGGAAGAAGCGGGCGACGAAACGGTCGTTGTGGGAAAGTTTCGTCCGAGAGAAGAAAACGAACGGACGTGGTAAAAGAAAAATCGAGCAGTAGCACGTTTCTCTTATCTTCGATAAGACAAAGGCCCAGAGGGGACGGAATAGGTGGGCGATGGGTTAGAAAGTTTCGAAATCGGTTGTGGGAAAGTTGATGTTCGTGGTTGGAGAACGGTCCCCGGGCCGGAATGTTAGCACCGCGAATCCCTGGGAAGAATCAACGACGGTGGACGAGGAAGAAGAGGAAGAAAAAGAGTCGCAGTGGCCGAAAACGATCGGCAGCCGACCGGTTCGGACCGGTTGAAAAGGGTTCGACACTCGTTTCGCTGGAAAGTACGGTAAACTGGTGACAAGTGGTCTCGTTGGTGCCTCGAAACGCGCCTGTTACGCCGGAAAAACTAGCAGCCGCACCATGTCCTTTCGATTCGGTCCTCGATGAAAAAGTTGCAAAGTTCCGTTGCATCGATTAGCGGCCACGATATCGAACGTCCCTCTATCGATCGGCGTCGCGTCGCGTCGCGTCGCGGTCGGGTTGTTCAGACCGCGAGCTTTCATCCTCTCTATTCGTCTTCTTGCACCAGGGATATCTTTCTTTCAGCCGGTCTTTTTTCGAACGTTGCTGCTACCTTTTACAGATCGAAGATCGATCCTTTCGGCAGATAACAACGCGTTCTCTCCTCTGTTTGGCATTCCAAGGCGGAGGTGTCGCTGTTCTCGCGATCGATACGAAAAATCGCTCGTACCACGCCGCTCGTACGTTATTTCCGTCAGCGGGTTAATCGATACCGGGAATCTCGCGGCTGTTCTTCTTCTTCGAAGCTCATGCAACATTTAACTTTCCGCTATATTCTTCTCCGGACTGGCGCGGCTCTCGTCTCGCGACTGAACCAAGGCACTCGCGAGATCTCCTCAACTCCCCCTTTGCTTTATTTCTTTCCCTCTTGTCTTACTACGATGTATACCGTTCTTTTTTTCCTCTCCCCGTCTACCATCTCGTTGGAAATACCGATACGTCGGTAGAAACTACCGCGTGCTCGTCTCTTCGATCGTTCTTGCTCGATCGAGACACCTGCCTTGGATTTACCTCTGGTATCTGTAGACGAATCCTCCTGCCTTCTGTTCCTCTCTCCCCGTCGACGGATTTCTCTCTTTTTCCTTGCCTCCTGGCAAAACATACTGAAACACATGTTCCGGCACCTCCGTGACACGCACCGTGGAACGTAAAGCACCCCGCGGTATACACATCCTTTTTCTACTTCTTCCTCACAATTTTCCTCCATGTTTTTTCTTATCCCCTTCGTTCCTCCTTCTGTTTGCTCTTTTGCGTCAACGAATTAATTTTTCAATTAATTTTTCTCACCTCCTTCACTGTGCACCATTGCGACTTACACGTACGGTAACAATTAAGTTATAGAGTAAAATAAAATAATTATCCGAATTGTATCATTCGGTAGTTTTTTACGCGTCTTGCTCGTTTAGATAGATTTTTCACAAGGGGTTCCCGTCGATTCGCGTCATCGGTTTTCCAAGAGTCGACGGCGCCATAGAGAGAGAAAGATATATAGGAGGTTCTGGCTTGTGTAACGTACGAAACGGAAGGGGTTTCACGAAAGGTGTGCAAAACACTTACTCGTAAGGGACAAGTAAGAGGAAGGGGTGGTTGGTGGTGGTGCTCTTAGCGTGGTTCGCGATGAAACTCACCTCTAATTAAAACGTCTGGCAGGTTGTGCAGGCCCTGCGGCGTCCACCCTCGCAATGTAAGAGCCGAGTTCTACGACGCTCGTGTAGGGCGGTAGTCACGATTGCGTCGAGGGGGTGCTACTGGGGAGGGGTGGTTGGCTTCCATGATCCAATAACGCCGACTTAATTAACTAACTGCTAACTCGCAAGCCTGTTAGCTCATTGATTTCGTTTCTCAGATCGTCGTTCAGCCTCTCTTTCTTTCTCTCTTTCTTCCCTTATCTTTTCTTCTTCTTCTCTTTCCTAATTGTATATCGGTACTGTTATTAGTGACGAAGTATTCTTCTCGAATAAGAAAACGTCAATGGACAAAGGGAAAAACATACCGTACCGATTTTCATTCCGATTCTCCACCATCCTCACCGACTGTCATGTAAAGGGTTAATTAACTTGAAATAAATCACCGTGATTCGTGTTAAACGCCATTGTTCCGCATTGGAGGAACTGGCGGACGTGTTGTGAATCGGGAATCGTCAAGGGTACGGGAATAATTGTCGTTCAGGTACAGGTATCTAGCGGTAAAAAGTGTCGCGTCGCGGTCCCGCTTCTAATCTCGTTGACCGGATCGATGCGCCTTGAAAAAGATCTCCCGAGGGTCGCGTGATAAATTAATGCGCTTTATCGCGGCTTCTTCAGGGTCATCCTGAAAGGGAACCGCGGTTAATGCGAATACGACGCGAAACGTTTCTTCTTCTTCTTTGCGCGACAGTCCACACTTGAAATTAAAGGAAAATGGTATTATATTTACACGCGTCTGCGAGAGGAACGTAATGGTAATGTTTTGGATCACTGATTATCATACTAATCGATAGACGGTATTATTATAATATTAAAAAGTGTTTGTAATAAAAAAATAATAGCAACGCTTTGGATTATCGGTTATCGACATCGCGGCGAGCAGCGACCCGCGTAAAATACGATTACGAAAGTTCTCGTTCGATTTTGGTGCTAATCTAATCGGAATCCTAGCCACCGCGGTATAGTTCGTAGAACCTAATTTGCCCATCGATGAATTCTAGGGGCTTTCGTTCGAATCGAATCGTTGAGCATTCAAGCGCGATGCTCTCGATCAGAGAAAGATAATTGTCCTCTGTGGTACCAATCTCCACAAAGAGACAGCACTTTCCTCATCGGCCGATTGAAAACGAAAGAGGCTCTCTTCGGATACAGAAGTCGATAGCGGTAGCATTTGAAACGCGAATTGAAAATGAACGCGTCAAGCATTCCTCTCCAGTGTTTCGCAATGCATCGTTGAAACGGGTCTTTTTGCTTGTTGGCACGTAAGCGGGATTGGCACAGATTTTTTTCCAAGGTTTTAACATGGGGACAATTTATCGTTCGATCGATAGAAAAAGAAGGTCGAACGAATCTATCGTGGCAAGGAATAATAGTATCGGAAAGGCTTCGGTCATCTGTAAATCTGTCTGAAAGAGTTACGCTCTTCGAGTGATTTCTGCGTAACAAGGGGTTGTGTTGTAATCGTTGCCTGCTCGTCGATCTTCTCGCTATCAAACAACGCGTCAAAGGAGGATGATGGTGTAAATAAATGGTACGTGATATGGTCGTAAGGAACTCTTTATTGTACGCGCAAATCAGTGAATTTGTATACAATCGCATCCATTCCGAATCATTTTCACACGCACTGTTGCTTCTTCTAATAATACTGTGACGGAGGTGTTACAGTTGCTGTGAATATTCAAATTATCTACTAATTAAATAGATTATCCAACGTTATAAATAAATTACAGGCTCGCTTAATCTAGACGATTAAATTATATTACTCGCGCGGTTTCGAACAATAACGTCGATCGTTTTGTTCCGGAAAATCCGGTTACCGTCGCTAATTGTAAGCGTGAATAAAAAGTACGGTCACCGAATCGATCATCGCGAATCGGTCCTATTCTTTTTTTTACCAATCTTCTCCGGTGTTACAAAGAACAAAGAGAAACGTTCGATGTGCCCCGAATTGTTCCGAATTTGTTCACTTGCAAACGGTGATCCACTCTTCTACCGTGCAATTTTGACACTGCACGTAGCAACACCAGTGAAATTTGCATCTGCACATCTCGACGCGTCGTTGTCTGACCACGTTGTACCCTCTGCCGCAGCACAAGCTGCCGCATCCGTCGCCACCGGAACTGGTCTTGTTGCACCTGCGACCAGCGGTGCCAGGAATGTCCGCGGTAGGATCCCTTTCGCAGAAATTCGGCGATTTTTGGTAATAGAACAGCTGTTTAGCGAGATCGCGAGGCCTTCGCTTCCGCCCTCCACCGCGATGTTTCCTCTGCCTCTGTCGATCCGGCCTTCTTCTTCGCGAGCCCCTCACCCGCGTCAGCGGCGTTACGCTGCCGAGGTTGCTCTGCGCCACTAACACGGCGTTTCGGAAACGAACCTTCAACGTTTTCCCGACCAGTCGGAAGTCAGGCGCCACCTTCCAGCAGGTCTTCAGCTCGCAGGAGCCGGACATGCCGTGACACTTGCAGCGCACCTGCATGTTGCTCGCCACCGCCTGCAATTTTCAAGCGAATGTATTTCGAATGTCTTTTCCGCGCCGAGATCCGATGAACACGCGTGGAATGGTCAGAAAAGGGGCAGGAATAACGGGCGGAGGAAGGGAAAGGGGGGGAAATTTCTTTTAAACAAAGAGGTGTCGCGTACAAAACAGTTAATGAGTCTACGGCTGGGTGGTCCAGCCCCGGGCTTCGTCTTAATAACGTCGAGGCGAGACCGAGCGTGGAGAGCCGCGTGGAGGAGAGGAACGGGCTCGCCTCTTCTCCTACTCCTCTCCACCCTTATTCACCGTTTTCTTTTATACTCTTTCTCTCTACCGTGTTGCTTCTTTACCCGGTGTTCTAGCATCGTTGGCAAAGAATCGACGTTAAAACGCGAAGAATCGAGGGAAAGGAAGAAAAACGTTCGAGGAAGATGGGTATATTGTCGCGGAATGAAATATTTATCGCGAGACTCGATGAAAACAAGGCTGTAAAAAGGAAGGCGAATGAAAGGGGAGATTAATCAAACGGCTTACCAAGCGACCAGCCTGATTGTTGTGGAGATTGACCGTCGACTGTATATCCCCGACCCTCTCGCGCGTGTCTAGGAACTGTCTCGAGAACTCCATGCCGTAGTCGAGGTTGTGAGAACAGCCGCCCCATTTCCATTGCGTGCCCCTTGCCTTGGCAGGAGGTTTACCCTTGTAGCTGGACGGGTCGCATCCGCAGGAGAGCAGTCGTCCCATGCTGCACGCTCGTGCCACGCTGTGGGCCACCCCGGCTGCTGAGATCGCGAACGCGAACGCTGTTTCCCTGTAACCTGTCACAAATCGAAACCTCTTTAGCCGTTCTTTCGAAGAAGCCACCTGTTACCGCTACGGAACGGAAGGAAGAAAGATGGAATGGTAAGCGATCGAGACCCGGTGACCGGCTAGCAAATTGCCGCTCTTACGGCGGAAGAGTAATATACGCAACGGCGACAACCGCGATCGTCGATCGTTCGGAGGAACGAGAACGCGAAACAGCGGGACACCGTGGAGCCGAGCTTCCGTAGAAGGAGTCTCGGTAGCGAGGATCGTTCGACGATTCGACCGACAGACAGCCATCAGACAAAGTTCAGAGGTAGATTATTCAGCCGTCCGTCAAAACAAAGCGTGGCCATCAACAGCGGCGGCCGGCGGGCATCTATTGACTGCATATATTAACGATCTCTCGGTGGGGTTCCCGTACACGCGATCCCAAACTCTAACCACCTTTCCCGACAATTTTGCACCTACCGTTTTTAGTCGAAAGTTTAACCAGTCCCGGGCACGGTTGTCCCTTTCGATTTCCCACGATCGACGATTCGAACAAGCTCGTTAGCCTCCCGGACGACAGAAAGTGTCGAATTTGAAGAGTAGAATTTGGAAATCCCTCGACCGGGGGGGGAACAAAACGGTTCAAGCTGGACCAGTTCGATAAGTAATGCGACGTCAAACGCACTTTTTCTTCGCTACCTCCAAGGTCTGTTCGTCCCCGAAGCGTCGCGTCGCGTCGACTGGAGTCGGATTGACGGATGGTCGATCGTCAAACCGCAATGGTGGCTGTCAACTTACAAACGATACGACACACGGCTGTCCGCATCGGCATTGGAATACGCGCGGTTCCAACTGTCCCTTTCTCCTCTCGACTGCTCGACAATGCCCACACATTACTCTGCCTCCCGTTGCTACATTCGAAAGAGCTACTCCAATCCACGAATACCGGGCGGTATTTGCAGTATTCATGAGAGACCGAGATACCGGGCAGAGAGGACGCGCTAAAGGCACATTCGAAAGGATTTGTGGTATTCGTTCTCGACACCCGATGAGCCACCGGTGCTGTCGTCACGACGGCCCCTTTCGACAACCATCCCTTTTGTTCTTTCCGTTTCCAGACCGTGTTCCCGAACGCGACTCGCGTCAACCTACCGACGAAGAAATCGTCATCCTTTTCCAACGATTCTCCACGATTTACCATCTCGTCGGGTTAGAAAGTTCCTCGTGGTTCTGTCTACTCTTAGACGGGACGAGGTAACGGTGGTACCGAGTCGCGTCTCGACGGATTTAACAGACAGGACGGATCCGTTTCAGCGAGAGAGATCGGACAGCCGGCGGTCGATTACGTCGCCCTTCGTCGATCGGAAGGAACCCGGACGACGTTAAAGACTCGACAGTGGCTCGATCGGTGGGTAAATTTTTTTTTTTTGGAGATCGCTGTGTTTGATAGAAACGTCCCCGACGAGGAACGATCGAGGGATCTTCGAGTCGAATTCTGTCGGACAAGATAGGATATTCGAAATATGGAATATTTCCTGTTTCATTTGAAAAAGAATAGCAACGCGCCGAGTGGAATGAGGGCCCGGCTTTCAAGCGAAAACGGAACGAAAACGTCTCTTTATATGGCCTCGCGACGGGAGGGGCGGTTTGAAAGCTCGTGCTTTATACGGCTATTGGCAGCAACTGTTTTATAATGCAGATAACCATTCGAGGGCTGAAGCTACTGCAACTGCTGTTGCTGTTGCTGCAGTTCGGTGGTAAGAGGAGCACACCGGGGACTTCGTAATAAATCCTCCACCGGGAGTTGTACGTCTCTTCTGGTGGACAGTCGAGAGGAGAAAGGCTGTAGGTGAAACGAAGAAGAGGCGAACGCTGAGGTGCACAGAGGACCATGAGCTGCCTCTTCTCTTTACTCTGTCCGGCTGTTGACGCAGGCACGCGGTGACGGATGGCGCACAGACTTTACCCTGCTACCCTGTGTCAAGCCCGAATCACTGTTTAGATAACTCAATAGATAGCGGTAGTTGGTACGTGGCTGGATACCTGTACAGGAGTACACGAAACTATATAACCCTTTTGATTCTTTTCTACACTTTCACTGGTGAATCGAGCGAAATAGAGATTCCTCCGTCTGCTTGAATCACAGTTGTATTTACAAGCGCAAACACTGTCACCGCTGCTGGGGAACGAACGAACCTTGTATACCTTCACTCCGTGGGTAGTGGGTTCGCGTTGTGTGGGCCTGTGGGACAGTCAGAAGGAAGACCGTTTCGTGTACATTTCATAATACATTAAGTCGTTTCGCCGTGGTTTAACGAATAACGTGGCAAAAGGGAGACGCGAGGGAAGTGAAAAATGAAGAAGGAAAGGAAGAACGAGAGAGGACCGTGTCCAGAGAGATTTAACGATCCGCGTTCTCCTCGAGATACGTAGCGAGGCACGAATTTGACACGGTGGATTTCTCGAACGACCGCGTACCCTGCTCACCTGGCCACCGATGTCGTCTTTAAAAAGCTGGAACCGTTGGTAATGGTAAAGTACGGTCTGTTTCTCGGAAGCTGCTGCCCTCTGACTTCGGGCACGAACCTATTTTCACTTTCGGTCGCGACGGATAATCAGCGGATCGACCTTTCGTTGAAAATCGGTAGAAACGTTTGCCACGGTTCTCGCGGCCATTTCGCTCGCTCGAAAGAAGTCGTGGAATCGACACCTCTTGTTCTCTGGTTTCGGCAAAAAGAGCAACGGGGAAGAGAAAAACGAAGGTAAAGAAAAGGTGTACCGATCCACGAAGGTAGATAACGAGAAGACAGACGCGGCGAGATCGTGGCCACGCAGGATGGAACTTAAGCTTTCAGGTCAGGTGCGCTCGGTGTCGCGCTCTCGCGCACTCGTCCGGCACGATATATGTTTCCTCTTTCGACGCACGTACGCGCCACGACGAATTTATATGTCACACTGGAATAGGACAGTCGAAGAGGGCACTCTTCTTTTCTCGTCTGCTCGCTTTCGTTCTATCTTCCTCCTTCCTTTTAACGTGGATTTCGGACAGGTTCTCGGAGCTGGCAACGCTTAACCGCGTGTATTCTGATTTAAGGAAGCGCGCTCGTCTCTCGCCTACGCCGTTTCGTCGACGTCAACGACGTCGTAAAAGATTTCACCTTTCTCTCCCGTTTGCCCGCTTCTCGATCCTCCGTGTCACCGGCGTACACCGCGACTTGGTTATGCCCGCCTCTGCCCGCCCGTTTATCAGTTGGCGAAATAATCATTTTAATCCTCTATCGCTCGAATTTTCTATATTTCAACTCGGTAACATTCGTGTATTTGATTACGCTCGAATATAAGTATAAATTTCCTGCATCTCGTTTACCTCTCTGAAGAAGAACGCTGCTCTGTTGAGTTCTACTGCTTGGCGTAAGGGACGAACAGTTCCACCTGTGCCACATGAATTGATGCTGACATTCGGATATCGCTATTTGCAGACCTTTAATCGCAGCCACCGTCACGTCCGGATTCCTGTGGCAGAGCTCGCGTTGCTCCTTCGTCAGGCCTGGTATACCGTTGCACACCACGGCATTGCCGCTCACCCAATCGTCCACGGAGTTGCTCATTAAGCAGGTCGCGCTGTAAATCAAACGACATTTACCGATTAAACTACTCCCTTCGCTTGGAACGTTCCATTCGAGGATCGCTGATATCTCTCTCTCTCTGTTAAACGTTCGAATACTTTCAGTGATTGTGTAGCTTGCAGGGAATCCAGACGATTTCTCCGTAAATTTCTTAATTTCATACTACGTTTACGAATGATGTTATCGAATTGGTAATTGCGATGGGATCTTTTCATCTGGCATAGTATAAATGTGATTTTAAAAGGCTTGAAGCGAAAGGGATTTCTAATTGCTCGATAAGTTCTAAAAACGAATTGGTTGCAGTGCTTTCGCTCTCGTAAACTTGCATCCAGCCGTCGAATCGTCTGCTTTTCTTTAGACTATTTTACGAGACTAAGGTCAAAGGTGCGATAACTCTCAAAGACCGTTCGATCTATTTCGTTCCGTGTTCCATCGGATCCTCGCTTCGGTCGCTAACGCGTTACCCTTTTTCCAACCAGCCCCCTTTCGCATCGTGCCGATAACGCCATTCACGTCTCGGAAGAGTAGCTCTTAAAGCGCTATCTTAAGCGACAGCTTCTGCCTAATGGTGGCGCATTACGAGACACCGGGTGTTAATTAATTTCCAGATGGAAGAAGCCCAGAGAGGATTGCACCGAAGGGTGTACCACAACGAAGGGTTGTTCCAAAAAAAAAGAGAGAAAAGAAAAACACTCCATCGGGAGCGTACGTATCTTTGACAGGAAGAAGGATTTCGGTCGCGTAGCTAGTTTATTTCATTTTATTCGGTTCGTTCACGAAGTGGTCAATTTTTTTGCCAACGGTTCGCCTGGGTCTGGAACGATGTCAGAGGACGGGTGCAAGGTTCTCGGTGGGTCGCTGGTTATCTGCGGGTACAAATTAGCCGACGAGCTTCTCCTAAAGTAAAAGCTGTGTATAGCACCCGCGCGAACCAGGAAAAGAGAGAAAAGAGATGAAAGGAGACGCGCAAAGGGACCTCGAGGAGCCGAGGAAAAAGAAGAAGAACTTATACAGGTTGCAGCAAAATTCATGATATTGGATTGTCGCGAATGAATATTGGATTCGATGAATCAAAGATATCGCAAAATGCTACTTTTTCCAAGACAATTTGACGTTTAACGAAAGCTATCCATAATTACTGGAATCGTTTATTTCGTCAACAATTATCTAAAGTGTTATAAATTTTGCCGAAGCCTGTATATCGTCGAAGGTGTTGGCGAGGAGAGGCGAAAAGAAGGTGTCCCGTGAAACGTCGCGCTTCTACTCGTAGTGTGGGAAAGGACGGTGGAGGAGGAGGAAGATTTTAAGGGTCGCGAAGAAGGTTATTGAGGGCTCCCATTACCGATACACCGTTGCCACCGTCGCTATCTTTCGCGCTATTGATGATCTACGGGAAACAGATTAATGATCTTAACTCGGCGAAACAAATTACCGAAGACATCGGCTGTACCTGTGGCAGTCTGACCGGGTCGAAAGGATTCCTTCCTTCCGTTACCTTTCCCCTCCCCCGCTAGCTCCGTTCGTTGGATATCGGGCTTCTTTCGTCGCGGACACCTTTATTCGAGAAAAACGAGCAGATCTCGTACGCGACGCAATGGAAATAATAAAAGGGAACGATACCAGGTTCGTATCTTTGGATCGTGTTCCCCGAACTCGTGGGAAATCGTCGAGCAAATCAAGAGGGTGAACTCGCTACGCGCGAGACAGAGCGAGGAGGGAATAAGGACAGAGTGGCGTCCTGCATTTTTGCAATGATCCAAGGGGTCGCCGAAGAATCCAAGATGGCGTAGCTGATGCACGTGTTTTATTTAACTTGTTCGCAAAGGGAAACGAGACGAGCAGAATAGAAAGAGAGAATCACGGTACGGAATTTCGCATTTAATGGAGGTATACCCGCGGAGAGAGAACTCGTTACCAGAGACTCGCGAGAATTCCTGCGGTAGATATCGAATCGCTTCGGTTCTTTTATTTTCGCGCGAACCAACCTTCTCCGACTACTCTCGGTACCGTCTCGATATTGTCGATCGTCGATGAAAAGCATCGAAAAGACATGTGGGGTTTCACGATTTCCGCAAGTGAAATATTTCCGCGCGAACCACCGACGGTTCTATTATTCGACGAACCGTGATCGGTAGTCGAGTGCCGGGGTGCTAAGCGGTGGGTTGCGCCCCGTAAACTGGTTTATCGGAGCATTACATCACGGGGCAGTTATTGGATGTGGTGATTCAATGCCGTTCCGTAAATACGCCGAAGTGCACAGGCATGCTTGTATCTATAAACGCGCGTTCGTGCATGTCGCTACGGTGTAAGTACTCTTCGGCCTTGTTCCCGGATGCTGTTTGCAATTATTTACGAGAAACCGCGTGGGCAGGAAGGAGAATAGGTCTGACGTTTGGTCGTGGTCAGACGAGCCGGCTCCTCTCCGAAGTGGTACACACGTACTTAGCTACCTTCTATCTCGAAGACACAACATTGTCACAGATAGTTGAGAATGTTTGTCGTTTCGCGTAGCGAGGACGAGAAGAGCGATTTGTATTCCTCGAAGCGGACCAACCAAAGAATTCCTCCGCGATTCCTGGAACCGTGTTTTACTTCCGCGCGAGACCCCCGCCTTCCGGAAAACGTCACGATCGCTTCTGGCTCGTACATTTCTCAAAATTCCATTTTCAGGCTTGAAATGATAGACAGATTATTATTAGAAAACGAGAAACGACGAGACGGCTTTCTCTACTTGCGTTACCGCTTCTGTGATCGTCATCCCGAGACTTAACTTCGTATAAGGCATTATACCGATTGAACGCGTTAAGAAGAAGAAACGTTTGTTCGCGGGAGAAAGAAGACGTCGAACGATCGTTCCATTGGCGAAAGGAAGATTCGATTAGAGCGTGCAACGCGTTCGACACAGTGCCCGGGCAAGATCGGGTACAGGCATAATGAAGATCGCAGCGGGATCGTTCGTTGTTCGTGCCGGCTGAAAGGGGCCCCTATTTGCACTTCGTCATTGTACTCTGGCTGGAAACCGTCGATACGGCCGCTCTGACTCCACGAAACGTCTCTATTGACAGATTCTTTCCGGAATCGCAATAGGCGGAAAGGAGAAGACGCGCGAAGTCGTGCTCGTAAATTATTCTCGACGAAATCAGACACGGACATGCTTTGTCTTTCATAGCCTTTCTTTGTACGAGAATGATTTCAATACTTTCCAATTTGTCGAGAATCGAGTCACCCTCCACGGTGTTCGAAGGCGTGAAGATCATTTTTCAAGGCCTAATTTCGGAATGGATGAATAAATATCCTTGATCAAAGAGGGCGAGACTAAACAAGACACGACACGACACGAATCCCATCGCCTGATGCGGTGTTGCAATAACAAATCGAAAAGGATAAGATAAAAAGGTGAAGGATTTTACGATGCTGCTTCGTAAATGTTTGCTGAAATTAAAGTTTCTTGTCTTACTAAATTATTGAGAGGGTACGAATACTATGTTTCTATGCGTATCGGGCTGTTTGAAATTGTTCAAAAGTTGTACTCACCGACGATTCTCCAAGAGAATCAGCAATAGGGCGATTGTAGGTCCGATTCTGATGGCGATCCTAGACGGTGGTCCTTCGTAGACGCGTCCTGATCGAGAAGGAGGCATCCTGTCATCGCCCCGAGGACGTCTCTTATTCTTTAGCGCGGTTTGCCCGCTTTAAAAAGAGTCGAGTGCGACCCCTCGTCCAAGGCTGCACACCCCTAGCACCCGAACGGAAGGACCCCTCGCTCGAGAGACCGGCGTGCCTCGTTTCTCTTTCTTTCTCTCTGTACGCTGTTCCTCCGCACGTTTTCCTTTCTTTTCTCCTGTTGTGTGTTTTTTTTTTCTTTTCTTTCTTTCGAATCCCACACCTACCACTCTCTTCCTCTCCCGTCACTGGCGCGGTGCCTGTGATCAGCAGTCTGGCACGCGTCGAGGACTCCTCCTCGCCCCGGGCACCGGCGCTTCTGCTTTGACGTTCCGTACGATTCGAGAGCTTCCAGTTTCGTCGCTTCGAGGGGTCGCACCGAAAAACTACCCCGGGACAATATCCTCGATGACGATCGAACGGTTCGTCGACCGACCGCCCTGGATACTATCAGCCACCTTTCTTCACCCTGCTACCGGAAGTTCCCTTCTGCCGCAAGGATTATAGCCTCTTGCGCGCTCTTCTTTGGAGATGAAAATACTGTCGGTACTCTTCGTCGGAAGATTCTACGTCGTTCTACGAGGTTACTTCACTGACACCGGTTCAGTTGTCACATCAGTTTGTCGAAATGGTTACCAAACGTGTCCCCGCAACCCCTTTCTCCGCGATGCGCGTGTCCCGTGGACATTCCACATCCCACGTGAGGAAAGAACACTTCCGAGTCCGAGTGAAGAGACACGAGGCAGATTTTATCCACGTCCGACCACGAGAACGCGTTTCGATGAGGCATCCTTGTTCGCCGCTTCGGTTCTCAGCTTCCGCGGCATTCTGTCGAACGCGTTTGCAACCCTTCGCGTCCGGCCGTCGCGTTTCCCCCGTTTCTGGTCCGCGACCGGTGTCGTCGGCCCACGGACGTCGTCCCGTACCTTCTCGCGAAGAAAGGAGAAGACCGATGCGATGGTGTACGCGGTACTTCCGGTGTGTGCACGCGTTCACAACGAAGTGTCAAGCTCAAATAAAAGAAAAGTCGCCCTCCGGGATCTCTTACTCCTCCCACGCACGCATCCCCCTCCTTTGGCGTTTGTGGTGTTCCTCTTCCACCGTTGCTCTTCTTCCGTCTCTTTTTCTCTCCGTATCTCTCCCTCTCTCTCTTTCTCTCTGTCAGACCGTCGGTCGCGTACCACCGCGGCTATCGTTTCGTTTCGTTTCGTTTCGTTTCGTTTCGTTCGTGCAAACAGCCGGAACAGCAAACTTCCCGTGGCCGCGTCGTCGCGTCGTTACCCGTCGACGAGCGTCGCCGACACACCACCGAGCTGCGCGCACACGGCGCCGATACCAAAAGGAACGGCCGAGTAGCCGGCTTACCGATGCTTCCTCGAATTACCGATCCACTGGGAACCGTGGCCGAGACGAAGAGGGCCGAACAAAAGGGGTGAGAAGAGCCGAAAGCGATGAGAAAAGAAGCGAAGGAAAGGAAAGGAGAGGAGAGGAATCGCGCAATGTCCGAAAGGGGATGAATCGAGATCGAAATCGGTGGAAGGGATGGTGGGGAAGCGGGAGAGGGAGAGAGAGAGAAAGGGAAAGCGAGAGGGATGCTCGACGCAGAGGATACGAGAGACGACGGCGGCAAGTGGACGGCGAGTGGACGGCAAGTGGACGACGCGTGGCCACGCACTATATCGTTAATCCCCGTGTTTCGTTATCCCGACACGCTACTGCGAGCCGAAGAAGAGATGGACAGAATCTGATGATTCCACCTCCGTTGAAGCTCGAGACGAGGAGCTGTCAGGGAGATCGGTCTGTCTATGATGAACTCGGTGCGCAGTGCGCGGCTACGGGGGCCCTCCTCGCCCTCCCATAGGGAGAGAAAGGAGAGATAGGGAGCGCGGTAGGCACCGAAGAAACCAACTACCCCCCCACCATAACCACCACCATCCGGACCACGACCACCACTACCCGACGACGACCGCCACCACCCTGAGAGATTGAAACCGACCAGACGAGGATGCACGATCGCGAGTTAAACTAGCAACGGAGACGGACCGAGACCGAGCGCTGAGAAAAGCAGAGCCAGAACCAGAGCCAGAGAGACCAACTGAGAGAGGCAGAGACACCAGGAGAGAGAACCTATGGCCAGTTTCTGCATCTCCCTCTGTTTCCTCCCACTTCCGACCACCTTTTTCTTTCCAATTCTCCTTCCCTCTCTCTTCTTCGCCGTCTTTATCGGCCGTACGACCGTCTGAAAACGCCTCTTCGCGAACCAACAGGTATTTCGCGTCGACTCTTCAACTTTCCGCGGAGTTTCTCTGACGCAAGGTCGATCCTCGAAATTCTTTCTCTTCTTCTTTATCTTCGGAAACGGATCCGTCGCAATTTACGATCCGATCGAACACGACCAACTATCCGTTACTTGCCCCTTCGGGGAAGGAAGGAAAGAAGAGGGAGACGGAACGGAACGGAACGGAAGGAAGGAAAGAAGAAAGGGAGGTTGCCCTTGATCACGTGGCAGGAAAAGTAGGAGGAGCGAACTTCCCCTACCTAGCATCCCCCGGAGGATGCTCAATCGGCATAATTGAGGTTTATCTCCGTTCCCTAACTCTGTTTTCCGCCTACTACTCGAGCCCGTTTCTCCGTTCTCCTTCTATTTCTCTTCGTCTCCTCGTCTCTCTAACCTTGCTCGTTTCCGTAGAATTGTGCAGAAGCGCGCGCGCGCGAATACCGTCGAATCGAGCAAGGGTCGCGGTCTTGTCCTATCGCAGTTACTCTCGAACCGTTTCGAAACGATAGACCACAGCACCGGATCGCTTTCAACGCGCTTATCCGTTCAGTCCTCTGGCCCCGTTCAATCCCACGCAGCCAATTAGCAGAGCTTTCGGTGTAACGACCGACTCGCCAAGATCCCAAAGACCGTTGTCGCGATTATCGAGGGTGAAACGCGTAAGCGTAAGGGAAACCGTTCCGTCCCCCTTTCGATCCAAGTTTCCGTCCTCCATCCCCTTGTCATCCAACTTCGGCTCTTTGTCCTTTTTTCATTTTCTGTCCTCTTGCTCGATCGGTCGAGCTCGGATTCATTGACGTGGTCGGTGAGTTGGCAATTAGTCGCAACGAGCCGGTACGCGCAGCCACGGGCTACGGGTATTGCTTACCCCTGCCTGCTGCCACGTGGTCCAAGATCAAACGACATCCCGAATCAAAGCGAACCCGGTCGGGGTCTCCGGAGGAACGTCGGATACGCGTCTCTTCGTTGATCATCGGATCGAAACGATGACGACGAACGAACGCGCAGGACTCGTTTGTCACTGGCCATTAGAATTCACGTGCCAATGAACGAGAATGCGTCGCATTGCGTTACAGGGCTTCCAGGAGGATCGAACGTCGCGATTATCAGCCGGTTTTCTCCTTTTTCCAGCTTTGAAACAGGCACGCGGACCGATTTCTTTCTTATTTATTCTTTTTTAAATCGGTGCGCGCGAGAACCGACGATTCTACGTTCCATTCGTTTGGTAGTGGACGCTCATTGCCGGGCCAGGTACCTCGATGCCGATAAGATCGTTCCTGCTTCCACTGAAGTTTCTCCCGTTTTCTTCGTTCCTCCTCGTTCCTCCTCTCTTTCTCCACGAATCGTTCTCCCTCTCCTTTTCAACGTGTACCCTCTGTCATCCTATCTGGGTGCATTACTTATCGTCCTATCCAGTGTCCTGACCATGATCTTGGCACGCGAGCACCGATACCATCGAACCACTCGATCATCCTATCGCCGTGCAATGCGCCCTCCTGCACTCCAGCTCGGAAGCCTAATTGGCCCGACGTTCGAAAAAAGGGCTATGAAACTTTTATTTTCTCCTATCTCTTGTTGCCTTATTTTATTTTCCATTAGTCGCGTCGCGTGGAAAAACAGAGTAGATCACAATACCAGATTCTACAGAGGAACTACATAGATTCTATCTATATTCGTTCCCGACTCGATTTAACGCGCGCTTATAGACTCGAGTTTCCGAGAAAACTACCACCTTGCCTCGTGCACTCGACTGTTACCCCTTGGAAGGTATGAAAATCCCGATAAACGAATTATCTTTCAGCCGTAAAAGGGTATTACATATTTATTCTCTTTCTCCTTTCTTTTCACTTGCTCGCATTGTTCGATCTGTTTTATTTCTCCGTACAAAAGTCGGAGCACACGAGTTTCATCTCGGCGAAGAAAACGATCACGTACCGAGCGTGATAATCGATCGATCGTCCTCGAGACTCGTTTTCGCGGGACAACGGATCGATATCGACGTTAATCGAGACGTCAAGCCGACCAAACAAGAAATCCCTAACGAGAAGCGTGGAAAAAGCTTCACGGTGCATCGATTCGTCCTGTAAATTCTACTCCATTCTTTCCTGCCCCGACGAAAGAGAGATTACTCGGGCGTTCGTCGAGAGAACCGTAGCAATTCGAACGATTCCGCTCACCATGGAAACTATGGTAGGCTGTGGGATCCCAGCCCGTAGACGGAGAGACCTGTCCGGAATGTTTTAATAATATGCATTCCTGCTGGAACGTTGAAAGCGGCGCAGGGGTTGTATTGTGCCATCACCCAACCCCTTCGCTCCGTTTTCGTACAACTATGATATAATTAAGCTGGTATTTTCTTTTTTTTCGGCTCGAAAGAATGCGTCCTTGGGAACGACGGGTAACGCGATACACTTATGGAAGTAATATTAAAAAAAAAAAGAAAGGGAACAGGGTAGGAGGAAAGTCGAACGTTTTCGAGCCGTCCCACTTCCTACCGGCCCTCTTAAGGACCAACATTGTGCTCCTCTTTGACGAACTCATCGGAGAGGACGAATTTACTTGTTGCCCGACAGGACCCGTCATTAACTATTATGTCGTAGACCGGCTGCGTCAAGTGAACGCAACACCCACCGCGTTCGAGAGATGAAAGAAAAAGAGGAAGGTGCACGCACGTATCCGTCACGCCCCTCCATCCATTCACCGTGAACTCGATGCCTTGTTCTTCGCGATTATTTCGGTACAAGACGCGTACAACCATGAAAAGGGACCAGTACCACCGTAGAGAATGCACCGGAAAGGATACGAACAAACCTATAGAAGATGTTTGAAAAATTGTACTTCGAGTATTCGAGTATCGTGTCATACCAATTAACGCTCTTATCGAATTGCCCTGTTTGCTACTTTTCAAATCTAAAGTATCCATGCCGCTCAAACGCTTAAAGGAGCGTCCATCGAGAGCATGTTTTTCTTTTGAAAGAGAAGAATGGGTATTTTGCAGCGACTATTGGAGGATGAGCAGCGAAACGGTCGAACAGATATCCGTTACAAAATGGTAACGCTCGATCGCACGATCAACGAGGAGATAGAATCCGAAGGCGGATGATCGGGCATCGTTTTCCGTTAAAAGCCACTTGTTGGAGTGCGCTCGGGCATGATCGATTTCCCGGCTGAAACGTAGCTCCCGGATAATCTGCTTTCGGGGATCATAGGCGTTTACCGACTGTTTATTATTCGCCTCGCTCCTCGCGTCTCGCTGGAAAAGCAAGAAGAAACGCGTTTGTTCCGTGTGCTTTCGCGCGTATCCGGGCTCGCGCATCCGTGAAATGTCCCGACACTTCAAAGAAAATCCGAGCGAAGGGAACGAGTAGAAAACACCGGGAAAACATCGGCTACGTTTCTCGTAAAACGTTTCACTCGGTATTCTGTCGCGGACACAATGGATGTCTCGATAGGGATGAGAGTGCTCGTTCATTGACAGAGGCCGATCCACCTTAAGTAATGACTTAAGAGGATAAAAGGATCTCGAGGAGATTTTGCTTTTCTTGGATGGTATAACGAGCTGCGTTTCTTCTTGGAAAACGATCAGATTCCAATTAAGATCGTTAATTAAATGGCGAAGCGGAAGTATTTACATTTTATCAATTAAAAATCCGAAGGATTTTCAAAGGATTAACACGAGCTGCTGCGAGCCATCGATAAGGGAGCATAAAATGGAAGAATCAGGAGGTAGTAAAAAGAAGAAGAAGAAAAGAAAAGAAAAAAAAGTGAACATTCCAGGGTAGTCGTGGAGGGCAACGAATGGCGTATAGCTGAAAATAAGGAGCATCCAGGGATGAGGAATGGTTAGTCGAAGAGATAGAGGGAAGGCTAAAGAGGCGATGGGCCACCATGCTCGCCTATTATGGCAAAGGAGCCATGGGGATCCGAAGAGTGGCCCTCGACCAACGGCAATTCGAATAAATAAAGAGGGAAAATAAGATATATGCGCGTGGGTGTGGCGGCAGGCGGGACCCAGGCTCATTGCCACCTCCGAAGCTGTCGGATCTCACACTCCCTGTGGATCCGGCTATCTTCTCCTGCATATGTATACGGCTCTTTGGCTCGAGCCTATGGATCGAACCTTTCCTTTCCTTTCTCGACCCACGTCGCTTCGATTTCAACTCGGCGTATTTTTAATTTGACGTTTCGACGGTAGGGCGGCTCTCGTGCTGTTAAAATCTGCGATGTAAATGTAGTTGAAACGAGTATACGACAGTAGAATCAGCCGTACTTAGCAATAAGAATTTAAAATGGTCGATATTTTTCATTCTACTCGTTCGTTAAGTACACTGTAGTTATACGCTGTTAAAATCGGACATTAATACTTGACACTGTTTAAAACCGAACAGTGTACGTATTATGTTAACTGATATATTCCTCCTCGTAATTGTCGGACACCCCAATGTGCTCGAAACTCTTGGCCCGAGTTGATTACGATCCTTTACGACCGGTAAATCACTCGATGTTTCTCCTCCTCTTTCGTCCTTTTTTCCCTTCCTCTTTATTCGCGAAACGTCACGATAACCCTAATCGTTGAAACCGGTAGTAAAACGATCGTTACTAGTCGCGACAAAGAAACCGCCACCTTCGAGAACAAACGAGCCAATAAAATCGTTTTATCGGTCTTCCCTTCCTTCCTTCCGTTTTACTCGACTTTCGTTGAGTATTTAACATACCGATTAAATGCAGACAACACTTCACAGATACCGTGGAAAGTGTGGGTGGCAAGTTTATTAACAACTACGATATATTTATTTATGATATAAAAATGTACAAGAAATCAATTTAACGCTAAGTTAAAAAAGAAAGTATCGTATAAAAATGTTTGCGTCTTATTTCCTGACGCGAAGATACGCGTTTCGTCTTCGAGATAGCCTCTTCTTCCACCTCTCTCTGCGTGAGCCTTTTTTGATTCGCGACGAGCCACGAAGACAAGCGGATGGAAATTGATCGAACAAAGAAGTGTTAATTGCGTTATTATGGTCGAACAGCTTATCGAGGCTCCGTCCGTCTACCGAAACGATCGCGATGTTATCGGCTCGCATCGACCATTGTACGATTATTAAATACGATGATGCGGCTCTATTATCCTGGTATCGAGTCGATGCGATCGATTCGTGGATCAGAAAGATCGAGAGGATGCTCGTGATGGCGCGCGGTAGGTCCCTCGTACGTCCCACCCTTACGATGATTTCATCGCGGACAGATTTCTGTTGTCAGGTGATCCGTTATTCGAAGCATCAACGTCGAAACGCATCGAGTGGCCTCTGTTGCCTTGTAAATACCAAAGTGCCTGCTTCTTACATTCACAATATGATATAGAATATATTCACTAAGTTGATCAGCTGATCGACACATTAAAGATTTGAAAAGGTAGAAGCAGCGTAAGACTAATTGATTCTTAACACCACAGAGGAGTTGGCCATTTGCAAAGTACGATCAGTTCCATTTATCGGAAATCGTTCATCTTCCGTTCAAGCTATCGCGTATTAAATCCTCTCAACTGGTCAGTCCCAGCATCGTCAGCGATAAATATAGTTACCAGCTAATAAACTTGCTTAATTATGTACACAAATTCGTGTATACGAATCCGACGGTGGATGTAGCGAGCGTAACGAAGCCGAGTTGGGCGGTGGTGGAAATGTCAGTGGCGAGAGAGATGAAAACGGGCGATAAAGGAATGGGATAAAGGGAGACGGTGCGCAACGGCTAGCCGCACAAATGAGTATTTATGAGGCCGGCACGGCTCTATATTATGCCTCATTTCGCCGGAGGATCGATTAGCTCTAATCGAGATGTACAAACAAAACGTTAATAATAAACGTTGCTCGTTTCAGGTGCCCGCCGCGCCGCGTTGACTGGTTTCGCGAAAGTTGAACAGAGAGGAGACGAAGGGATGAGAAGCGGATAGAAAGAAATTAACCGGCTCCGCGGACCGAGCGTGTCCTCGCTCGTACGTACAGGTATGTGTTCCGCTTGTGTGCGCGCCCGAGCCTGCGACACGTGTTCCTCGCACGTGCTGCACGCACGTGTACGTGTACGTGAGCACGAGCGCGCCTCTCGCGATTAAACATCGATTAGTCCTCGATACGATGGAACGATCGAACGGTGAGATTCGCGAGAAACCGAACGACGTCCGATGAGAAACACTACTGACACGCAACCAGTTTCTATATTAGGTTATTCCATAATAAACGTCGATTTTCGAACGATATTTCCCGTGCTCGCCGCTAGATGGACGCGCGTAAGTAATTTTCTCGCTAGTCCTCGCTCGGTAGTTCGTCACTGTACGCTGAAATAAGGACGATGATAGGATAATGGCTTAGATGGTTGGTTTTTAAGAAGAAAATTCTAAGAATTGGAAGGTATTTAACGATACGGAAAAAAGGTAATAGGATTCGTGAAAGAAGTTGTTTGAAACCGATTCGAACAGTAAAACACACTACGTTTCGCTTTAATAAATCCCTCGAGCATGTCCCTTGGGACTCTACGGGTGGTTCGAGCGTCGAGGAATCGCGAACGATGGATAGGGCGAAGAAACCCGCGAGTCGACGTCGTCTACGAACAGCGGGTGGTCTCCGGTTCGCTGAAAACGCGAAACAGGAACAACAACTTAGCGAATCATTTTATTACCAGACGTTACTCGATAATGTTCAAGCAGCAATCGTAAACACGATTAGACACTTCGTATTTATTCATACGATATCTGTGCCTTTGTTTTCGAGTTGACTCAGATTCATCGGCATATTGAATTTGATCCCATCCTTAATTAAGACTTCACTGCTCGGAGATATGGACCGTCGTGTAAACAAATTGGAGGAGCTGAAACAATGACCGACTGTGTCTCGTAATCAGCTCGTGTGTTGTAAATAATTCGCGAATCTTCTCTGTCCCGAAAGTTCGACGCGTGGATCGTTTTTCGACTCGTCTGGTCTTCGTCTGGTATTATTTCTGATTATCCCTTCCTATCAATTTTAAACAGCAAATCAATAGCTGAATTTTGCTACATTAGCAATCAAGGGTTAACAACGTTTCGCCGTGTATCGGCATGTTGTGGCGAATGGATTACTCCGCGGATCGGTCCAATCTGCGATTCGTCTCGGCCACGATGCTTGACCCTTTCCCACGCTACTGCCCGTTCGACGAGGGAAGAAATACTCTTCGAGGCTCTCATTAACCGCGTACAGAATCGTCGTAGTAATCTCGGGCTCGCGAAATGTCCGAGTTAACAAGCAGAAAATCGAGGTTTCCCGCGAGAAAATCGAGCGATAACTCAATCCTCTGGCGCAGAGGTAAACAGAGATTTCGTAAGAGAAAAGAAAGACAACGCGATCGAGCGCACCTGTATGACGAAGCTGTTCTCGTGCGAGCGAGTTCGGAAACGCGGTGTGTAATGCAACCTTAAAGCTCACAATGAGTCGGCCACCTACGGTCGCGCAGTCGGTGAAAGATGTTTCTCATTGTCTCCGTGTGCTGTGGGAACGAATTTTCGTCGAAATCGAACGAGATAAAGGATTTCATGAATGAAGAAGGTCGTAGATGTTCCTCCGACGGGATCCTTTCTATTTTTCTCGGTTTCTCTTTCACCTTTCCGGATCCTCCTCCCTGCTATCGTCTATTTTCTCTTTCACACGCGTTTGCGGCTTCCACGGAGCATCTTAGCGATCGGTTTCGAAAGGTGGAGCCTTTCTCCTCCTCGTCTCACCGCCCCCTCCTCTCTTCGCTCTTTCTCTTTTCCACTCTCGCTACGGTCACTTCTTTTATTCCCCTCTATCCACCGAAGCAGCATTATCTTATAATCGACCGAATGATTCTCCTGTCCGCTAGAATGGCACGACCTGCTGAGCACACGTTTCACTTCGTTAATGTCTGCCCGTGAGAGCGAATCCGTTCGATTTGATGACTTCTTTCTCCCGCAATCATGTTGGACGTCAACGGATGGAGCAACTTCTTCTGTTCCACGCGTTTTCACATGGTGTTCCACCTCGAGCTCCGACTGTCACGGGGTTTCGGAAGTTGTCGCAATGTTCGTTCTGAAGTGAAAAAGTTCGTCGGGGTGAACGGTTATCGGGGAAGGAGGGGAAGTCGAGAGGTGGTCAGTATCGATTTGCCTCGTACCCCGAACAATTCATTTTTGTATTCGTCTCACCTGATCGCAACGTGTGCGGTCCGTGACGTCATAATTCGGGGCCCCTTCGAGGCGTTCCGCCCCCTTAATGCGAGCCCCGACACCTCTCTCGACTCCGCGAGCCAGCACGCACTCCACCCTCTTCATCCGCGATTCTTCTTCTTATTCGCTTCGTCTCTTGCCGTTTCAACCGCGTCGAAGGGAAAAGGCAAGAAGACACGGAAAGATGAACGAGGGTGAAGGAGGGACTAACCGCGGCGCGTTGCAGCCTCCTCCTCTCGCTCTACCTTCTGCGCTCTGCTGCCTCTCGTACCCCTTTTCCCTTCTCGTAGTGACCGAGGATAGCTGGATGGTATATACACCTGGAAGGCGGCCAAGGGGGATATAATGGCTCGGTCGGACTTCACACGATGCCGACCGGTACGTCGGCCTCGAGGATGATGCGCGCCACGGACAGGGAGAGACGGGGACGAAACGTTGCTCGGACCTCCGGGGGAGGACTTTCAGTTTGATTTTGCGGAAGGATCGCTCGTATCTTTCATTCAGCTGCAAATCACTGGTGGCGAGTTTCAATAAAATTTCAGGAACTCTGCGAAAGAGCATTGGGTGCCCCCGATTCGCGAGGTGGGCGACGTGTGCGCGTCCCGCGACGGAACGCAGCAAGTGAAAATAGATGGAAGATGGAGAGAAAAGAAGTAGAAGCGAGCGGAGAAGCTCGAGAGGAAGATTAGGGTACTCGAAGGCGTCGGAGAGAAGCGGAGGACAGTGGGGCATCTCGTGCAGAAGAGTCGGAGGGTGGGCACCGTTAGCCGGTTTTGTACGAGCAACCTTCGCCGCTGTCAGCCCGCGGGGGCCTTATTTCAAGACCGTACCGAATCAGGCACGACAATCGCTCTAATATCCACACGAATGCCATGCCGGAGGCCCTCGTGCTCCAACAGGCCTTCCTTCTTCATCTCTTCCTTTCTACTCTCTATCCATCTGTACTGTTCTGCTCGACCTAACTCACCACGAGTGAGAGATCTCTATTCTTTATTTCTTGCTGTCGTTACAATTAATACTGGCGTACTAGATCAGTGAGAGATCGGTGAAAGAATCGTGAAACAATACGAAGCTTCAGGTTTTACCTGTATCCATTATATTCTCTTTGTCGGAAGAGAAATACTGTTTTCGATCAATGAAAAATCGAACGAACGATTAGCGATTGTTCGATGGAAACGAAACGATGGCCGGCGATAAGGAGAAACGATAAACGATAACGAATCCATGGTCGGTGTACCGAACGCCGGGCAAGTATGCGGAAATGACGATTAGAGGACCGTAAAACGATTGGAAACCCAAGGGATACGCGAGTAAATAGAGGCAGGTTTCACGACAGGTTGGAAAGTAACGTTGAAAGTGTAGATAAGCCTCGAAGGGTATATATACACGAACGAATCCTAATCTCCGGTGGATGGCAATAAGGACGGCGAGGGTTTCTTTTACAATCGGCCCCGGGGGCCAATTAGATCCAAAGTTCTTAATCCGTTTATCAGCCGCGCCACGGTGCACGAGCCTCTTTCATCGGAACGGATAAAAGAGCTTTCGAGTTCCTCGCCGAAGATGCCTGAATCCAATCGCAATGGAATACCTGAGAACACAATTTATGCTTTAATCGACTCGCTCTTTCGAAACGGCAGACTTTTTCAATCTTCTTCGAAAAGAAGGATAAACGGACTGACTTCCACGGGTGTGATTGGAGATATCCGATAATTAACTCGTTACGGTCCTTTATCTTCAATCGAACGAAAGGCATACAAAATATTACACTTTAGCTTTGAACAATCATAAATAAATCTATCATTAAAGTGGCAATATTTTTTCTCATTATTTTCATTAGCTTTAACAAAGGATACATTTTGTAGAAAATTAAGTGTGCCTAAAGTGGAAGAAAAATCCACGAATTTGAGTGAGGATATTTAGTCGATACGATCGTGCAGGCTATGTGGAGGAACGAAGCCTTCGGATGGTGGCGCGGTACCACGGTATAATAACAGAGCACCCCAGCCCCGACTAGCTGATGACTTCATTGAACTGGTCCCGGTTGGCCCGCGGGTCCAGGACCTCCCTGAAACCGCCTGGAAATTATAACGCCGGCCTGCGGCCAGGTCCGCTTTTGATGCGGCCCAGACACGTTTCGAACATTTAGTGGATCCCTCCAGGCTTCCCTCGAACGGTCCCCAATCTTCCCTTCTTCCTCCTCATCTTTTCCCTCGATACGTGTTTTTCGCGTCGCGCTTCCGCTTGTCACCACGCTTCCTCTCCCCGTTACCACGCGTGCCTGTTCCAGCTTCGGTTAATATAATAACGCGACGTATCGCGAGGGACACGAGGGTTTCATAAAGGAACGTTGGTCTATAAACTGGCGACTTACAAGCACGATCCGTTCAACTACAATCGCGAACACGCACGCTCGTCTATCCGTGTTCCATAACCGGGGACGCGAACGTTGTTCCGTTCGCGGGATTCTTTCGGAACGGTCGTTGTTTTACATGGTTTAAATCGCCGGTCCGTGGACGATTCATCGTGCCAAAAGCTGTGAGAACGGCGCGGATAGACGTCGTGATCGGGTTTCGATCGTTGTAGGCCTCGTACGAGAAGAAAGCAGCAACGATCGCATAGCGGAAGAGGAACAAAGAGAACGGGCAAGGGACAAGTGGAGAACACGGGGAACGCGGAGTCGTTTAACCCGAACGGGTCAGCCAGGGTCGAGTTCCTCTTCCCTCTGTCCTCTCGATCGAGAACGTATCGATTCCTATGGGAAATAGAAAGTGGCCACGTGGTGCGTACGTTCAGTCTATGCGAAATTTACGAGCGGACTGCCTCGTAATTACCATTGTGGAAACTCGGAGAGAAGGCAGGACGCGGTGGAAAACGCAAGACAGCACAGCGAAGAGCGAAACTCAACCACTGCATCTATTTTAGTTTAATTTAATTTTGCGTTTCGAAGAGGCGGAGAGTGAGAGGGAGCAGAAAAGAAAAAGATGAAAGCATCGAAGCATCTCGAGGCCAGTATGTACGAAAGACCCCGTGAGCGGCGTGTAATTGCTACGGAAGTTTAGCCGGGCATCTGTTTACCCAGTTGGATCGCGGCCTGTAAACGCCCATTTCGAGATCGTTCGAATCGGTTTCCATCTCGGCGCGAGCGCGCTTATTACCCGCGGAAACTGGCCGCCGATCGGTATCTGACTCGCATTAACGACGCTGCCACGACCGTTTCGAAACCGTTCGACACGGTGGCCTTCCATCCTTCGGTAATTAGGAACGAAACGTGAATCGTGTAATTATTAGTTTCGATATCTACTATATCTGAAAGTTATGCGGCTGGACGGTTCTCTTGGACGTTCTGATAAGGTGACTCGATGTCGAGATTCAAGATACCGTACACTAGGTACACATCGTGCGTGGTTCGTGTTCCTCGGAATACACTTTGCAGAGTATTCTCCCTTAATTTACCTGAGTCAGCTGGATGCACGGTCCGATGCTACCGTGGGTCGCCGTACGTCCGGCGCCGGCCTATCCAACGCGAAATTCTTGGTCGGAAGGTGGATGACGAGGAGGGGCAGAGGCGCAATAAATTGGCGAAACGTCAGGACGCATAAAAACAGCCGGATCCAGCTCGTCTCGCTGTTTCTTTGTCGTGGGACCGATGACACGGCATTGGTCCCCGGAGCAAACGCGGCTTTCGATTCCACCACTTGGTCACGAGGTCCCGCTCGATCGTCTGAGACGCGGCCTTGCGAGATTCCCGGCAAAAACCGTTTGCGGTTCCCTTCCTTTACCTCTCTGCTTCTCCTGATGTTTCCTTTACAATGTGTTATGTCTCTTCGATTTCAATCCCGAATCCTTTATTTTATCTAGAACGTCCTACGAGCGATGTGCATTGTGAAAATGGTAAATTTTATTCGACTTTATTTTTGATAGCCTATAAACGGCAGAGGAGTCAAATGGTCCGGGGAACGATGCACGGCTCTATCGAAGAGGGTTCGTCACGCGTGCACGTCAGCGGGTCGATCCTCTTCGTTTTTTCCCCGTCTCTCCTTCTTTCGATTCGTTCTCGTCATAATAGAAGAATCTGTTCGTGGCTGGCCGCTTTGGTCCGCCTCTATCGTTTCGAACGGCACACCGGTGGCCGCCACCGGGCGGCACGCCGCTCGCTCTCGAGGTTCCCGGAGCAGGTTCTCAGGAATTCACGACTCATGCGACGACGACCGGGTGTCCGAGTGAAACGTATAATGGCATTTAACGAAGAGGAATCGTGGTAGCCGGGTCCGGCGAGCTTGCTCCAAATTGCTAGGTCAGGCTAATGTCGAAACGACGGCCGTGGACAGGGCCTGGTATTGTTCCGACACCCTTCTCCGTCACGATGGCTCGTGGGAACACGCCCGTTTCTTTTTTTTCTTTTTTTTTTTTTCACTCCATTATCCTCTCGAGCACCCTCGCCTCGATATATTTTCCTTGCTCTTTTGGGAAAGAACCACCTTCTTTCATACGGGCCACCGTGATTTTCAGTTAGGAAAAATTTATCGAATCTTCTTGCGACGACGCGTTCTCGCGAATTAGCGTGTACCAGTGTCGGAGGAGGATGAAAAAGGGGGCGAGAAAAAAAGGATGAAAAAGAGGAGAAAAGGTGAAGAAGGTGGGCTAAAGGGAAGCTCTGCTCGTCTCTGAAAACTGGTCTGCTGGAGACGCGGTCTTAGCAGCAAAGAAGAGTCGAAGGAGCGGCATTCCCCGGTAATTAGTCTCACCCATAAATTACTGGCTATTCCGTGTCTGTGTTGGTCACAACTCGGTAACGTCCTCCTCCTCCTCCTCCTTCTATCCTTCCGCTCGGTCTGCCGTCTATTTCCACTCTTTTTTTCGCATCTTTTCTCGTCCCTTCTTTCACATTTTACACGCTGCCCCTGGTACGGCACCTACGAAAATAAACGATCCACCTCGACGAATATTTGCCCGATCTTTGCCCCGTAATCGTAGTCGTCGACGACGACGATCTAAGCGATTTAGGTGCCAGAAGGTCTGAGGCTATGGGAACGAGAAGGAACTCGTCTCTATCCTGGGTCCAACGTGGCTGGTCTTCTGATCCGGGAGGATCTTTCGGGACCGCCGAAGAGGCACAGGATCCCGCTGCTAAATGAGCTGTAATACGGACCCCCGCTGACCCCCTTGCTTCTCACTCTTCTTTCCTCCCTTCGTGCTTTCCTTCTCTTTCGCCTTCTTCTTCCACTCGGCCCGTTTTCCAGTCTGGTGGCCACCTCCTTCTTTCTCTCGAAACTACTTGCCCCTCGGGTTGGATTCGGCGGTCATGATACGGCCACACCGGACGATTCCTTTTACCGTCACTCTTCCCGCTCCTTTTATCGTTTCTCGTCTTTCATCGTCGCTGTTATCGCTCGTCTCTTTCTTACTCTTTCGATGCAACGTCGCGAATGAAATTCTTCGAGAATCTTTCCAATCGACCATTAACTAGCCGGATCGAAATCGAATCAAGTAGAGATGGAAATTCATTCGATAAGACTTTCTTATCGGTCGACGAATCTGTCGGATTACGTTCTCTCGAGCGCGAAACGGTTCTGGTCGCTTCTACGAAGTAACGGAGAACGGTCGTGACATCGAGACCGATCGCTCGGTCAACGAAGCAGTTGACCCGTGGCTCGGAGATACGAGCGGGCCGATCTGTCAATTAGGTCAGCCGTTCTCCATCCTCGCTACCGGCGAACAGAGAAGGAGAGGGGAGGAAAGTGGAAGTACTCGGTAGGATTTATTTTCAGACGCTTACACCATTGTCATTGCTGTTTCGTTATCTTGCAGCCTGCGTTTGATATATGCAACGCGAAATGGATTTCGTTTCGGAATTGGAAGGATGGAAAGATAGCGGCGCGGTTGGAAGAAGCTGGTGCTCCCTCCGTGGGAGCCGTGGCGGCATGGCAGGTTACAAGAAGCAGAGAGGAGCCGAGAGGTTCTCGTTCTCGTAGGAGAAGTTAAAAGAGGAAAAGAGGGGCTCGGTTGCGTCTCGTTGCCGCCGAGTGGCGCTCACCTGCCTAGTCCGCAACAGTCTCGTACGGTTCGCTCCGACCAGGAGCCTCGTCGCCGATCACGGACCAACGATTCTCTTCTCTTCTCTTCTCCTCCATCCCCTACCATCGACCTCCTTCTTCGCTTTCCACCTCCGCACCATCTAGCTACGCCACGTGTCGTCAGCTTTTCGACCTACCCTCTATCCTTTCCTACCCTTTCCTTTCCATCTACATCACCTTTCACCTCCCTTCGCCCGTCCCCTTTGCCCTCTATCATCCCTCTGTCGTTACGACGATAATCCAGGAGAATCCGATCGGAATCGATCCTTTTCTTCGAACGAGTGGTGCAGTGAAGGTGGTACAGGTGGTAAGGTGGTCTTGGAAGGAGAACAGAACAGAAGAAGTAAGAAAAGAAGAGAAGAAGAAGAATGGTGGGGCTGATGTCTTCTCTACTGCTTAGTACGCTTTTCTGGTGGGGGTAAAGCAACACTCAAAGTTCGTGGTGACGTAGTTGTGGCAGGAACGCGACGCGTTTTTGTCCCAGGCCGGAAGAGACGATATTGTTCCTTCCTAGATTCGAGAAAATCCTCGGCAACTTCTAGCGAGAGATAAAAGGGGAAGTATCGAGAGTCGGAAGAAAGAGGTGGAATGGCTATGAAACGGTAGGGGAAGTTTCAGAGTGGGGGTATATCTAGTTCAAGAGACCGGAAGCGGATGGTGTTCCGGATGTTTCTCGATTTAGTGATAACGAAGATACACGGTGCTTCCAAGAGCTTGCGAGAGTCAAAGCAAACCGAGAAATTTGATTGTTTTTCCATCGTTCGGTGTAACAGGCTGGAAAGAGAAGATGAGGATTCGACGTGTCCGATATTTGCATTTCGCCGAAGCTCGTTCGCTTTGATTTCGAGACCGAAGAAGAAAGAAGAAGGCGCGGGAGGAGGAGAAAGAGGAAGTAGAGGGCTGTAGCGACGCCGAAGAAGAAGAAGAAGAAGAAGAAGAAGAGGAAGAAAAGGATCATGCTTCAGTGAAGTGTCGGCAGAAGCGAAGATACACGAGAAAGTAGTCGAGAGTGGACGGTCGAGGAGATCGGGTGCTCGATAAAGAAATTTCTCTCTCTCGAGATCGTGGAAAAAAGGATCTTTGAATATTCTTTAAAGAACACGTAGCAGTGATCTAAACGAGAGTGGCGTCATTTCTCGGCGAGTTTCGTAGGTCAGGATTCGACAAGGTTCTTTTCTACGTCACAGAACGCGTTCGATTTCCTTTCGCGTTCTCGGTTGGAGAACACATCCGTCTTCCGGTATCCAGCGACACGAACGGCCGGGAAGGAAAGCAATTGTCTGAGGACTCGCACGGAGGGGCGGAGGGGATGGAGATGCGCCTCGTTCTCGTGGCGATCTGCCTCCTTCTCGTCACCCCCATCGCCGGCTCTTTCTGGTACGTACGTTTACCATTACTTTATTCCTCTTTCCATATTTAACGCTACCACTACAAGCTCAGTCCAATTATCGAACTAACTTTGGTGGTAATTGAAATCAATTAAAAGTCGCTCCTTTCATGTTAGCGAGTTAACGAAAAGAAACTAGCAAAAACGGCGGTTGGCAATCAAAAACGTCACACTTTTACGTAGGTAATTACGTAGAAAATAATCGGTGTTTGAGCACCGGTAAACGTCGTTCCTCTACGAACGTGACGAACTAACGAGTGCTCCAGTTCCGAAGCACGTCATCTGGGTTATCAATTACGCGGCACGTTACCCACACGCGGAATGATTAATGATCCCATAAATCCACCTTTGGTAGTTGCTCGAGTTACCTCTCTGTCTCTCGTAGTAAGTAAGACTTGTCCAGAGATTTACGATTTCATTTCGATTCGCTTAAATTGCGCGGTTACCATTACCGGAAATTCTTCTTGACTGAAAATGCGCTTGGAATGCACTGACGGACCGTTCGAGGAGCCAAAGAAAAGGGGATGGATATCGAAAGGTGCTGTTTATTTTCAACATTATTTATTGCTCGAGTCCGTTCATCTTACATGTGGATTCGACAGCTGACTAACGAATGAAAAGAAAACTTATTACAAGCGTAGAAAAGTGGAATTGAACGCGAAGGGTTGGCGTAACCATGTGACACGAGCTGTTCGTAACCGAGTTACGTATCTCGCGAGCTGGAACAGTAAAATATACGGTAGCTGGAGCGCGCGATGTGTACTCGAGTTTATTATGTAAATGTTTGGACGACGATATAGAGACCGTTATCGTCGTACCGCCATCCAAGGTTCCAGAGAGGAAAGCAGCTACTTAGCTGCTTCCTTTAAACCGCATTTTACTCTTCTCGTAATCAATCTTTCCGATTCTATCCTATTCTACCCCTTCCTCCGTAAATGTTCGACTCGAAGAGTATCACTTCCGCAGAGGGTGAAGGGTAGCCCTCGTCTATCTCCGTTTCTCCCTAAGGTCGAGTAAATATTTGTCAACGATTTAAAAGGGATTTCTGCGCGCACTCGACACTGTACCGTCGCACCTTGCTCGCTTACCTGTCCACACCGTCCACACGACCGAGTGTTTGATAAATACATTAGAAGGTTCGTGGTTTGTTTCGACGACAGGTATTTAACAGCTGTTTAAGTAGGTTCGAGGAACCTTTTTCCTCGTCGAGAGCCAGGTCCGCTCTCTTTTGACTTATTTTTCTTCTCGAACGTGTTTCGCTTTGATATTTCACGGACAATGCTTGCAAATTCACTCTGCAGGTAAACCGCGATCTGCGTACAGGTTCGTCAAATCGGGGTGCTTCTGGTGCTGCGAATTCGCGAACCGATTACTCGATCGAAACCGGATTCCCTTGATCGAGATTCCACGATTTTGTCGCGAGGAATACCATTCTATTCTCTCTTTCTTTCGATTCGTTTCACGGTAGCCAGGAGACACTCGGGCAAAGCTGAATCCAGCGAAGGACAAAGAGGTAAAGAAGCGAGCGAGGACGGACAATGGTCTCGCTCGAAGCGTCACCCGTAAATCTCGTTGAGCGCGTATAATTTGTAAGTCGGCAGCAGCGGCAGCAGCCCCGTTTCCTCTCTTCCCTCTTCGCCTTCTGTTTCCCGCTCGCGCGATTCCTCTTCGTCTCGCTGCCACGGACCCGCGAACCGTCTCGGCGCACAAAAATCGAGAGCAGTCCCCGAAGGACCCCGCGGTAGATTCGAATGCATTCTTGCGCCTCTCGCTCGCCACTCTCTTCCTTCGGCCACGCTCGCATTCTTACTCTCTCTGCCAACAAACTGTCCGCTTCTGTCGTATTAGTTCGTTAATTTTCCATTTCCTGACCTACATTACTAATTATACTCTCTGTTAAAAATTAATTAATTACCCGGACCAGTGTTTAGCGCGCTAGCGCGACAACCTAGACCGACGTGAACCGATCAAGTTCACCGTGTCTCGCTAATTATTCCCCACGAACGCGTCTGTACCTTCTGCCTTTCTCTTTGCCGCAGAAGCGGCCGAACCTGTCGGCCGTGTCGCAGGTGAAAAAGGTGTCTAGGTATCGAGCGATCGGCCACGGGTATCGTAACGACCAGTTTGCCGATAATGCGATAGCGTTCGGTCGGGTCGCAAAGTCGGCCAATGAGCCGCGCGGTGGGCAGTCCACAGCTACCTTCTCGCTGGTTGGACAACCCGATACTCCCACCCGATACACTCTATCTCACCTGGCCTCTCTCTTTCTTCACCGTGCTTCTGTATAATCGTAATCATAAAAGGGCCCTCCGACGCGAGCTCACCTTCTGATTCAACTTCGATCGCTGCAAAAGTCCGCGAATCTCACCTGGTGATCGGTATCGCAATGTTTCGCAGCGTTCACTGCGTTCGTGTCATTTTGTAAATTAATTATTTGTAGGTAAGATTGCTCCCTCTTTTCCTACGCCATTCCAGAAACTACGCCGTTCGGTGTATGAATGTTTGATCCCGATACCGGCCGTATTTCGGTCAGCCGCTGCTCGTAATGCTTATTTTCGTCGCGTACGTTCCTCCAAGTTTCGCCGAGGATTAGTACCCTCTTGCGTGGTCGGTCGGTTTGTCTATTTGCGGCCGTAAAAGCTCGATCTTTTCGTTTGAGAAGGGATGTATGCACCGTTGGTAACACGGTGCCAACGTAAACACGGAAAATTCCTTCCCTTTGCACTACCCTACGGTGCGCACGCTTTTCAATGAAACTTCCGTCTTGCGGTCTGATTTGCGATCTTGGAAGAGGATAATTGTAAGATGATTTGAGAGACATTACTTAGGGGATAATCTGACATTAACTTGGAAGTCTGAAGGGTGCGATTTAAGGGTGCAATATAAACACCGTACAACTGGTTTCTTGGAGAACAACTGTAGTAGACAGGGTTAAAAGGTCCTTCAGGTTTTTTATTCAAGAGTACATTTCATTTAGCCTCGTTAAACGGCGAGCGGTGATTATCCGAAAAAAAGGTACACGTATGGTACGTGGGCTACGGTAATAGTTATTGAGGAACAAGAGCATTGTAGGTAGTTAACGCGGTTGGAACGCGTGTCCCGTACGAGCAAAAGCATGGAATCGATTTTCGTGGAATGTTAGGACGAGGGGGGCAAACGCGTTTCCCGACGCTAGACGTTCCCGACAGAAGAATTTCAAATTGTTTCGACGGCGCGTGCACGACGCAACCAGCTATGTATGGAATTTTAAGACCCCCCTTTCCAAAGCTTACTCTAATTTTATTAGTCCCTTTCCCGATTCGATCGGCTTTCATTAAGCGGCGTGCTTCGAATAATTCGTTAAACGCCAGTATGCTTAGCGGTTTACGATTATCAGGAACCGGAAGTGTCCACTGTTCCTCGTTTTCTTTTCTTCCGTTGCTACGTTCGAAAGGTTGGACGACAATCGGGCCACGAATTCCAGCAGCCTCCTCGGAAACGCAACCTAGACTCGGCCTGCACCCTGTAACCCTTGCCACTCAATTTGTTCAGGCATTCTCGAGGCCAGTTGAATCGCCTTTCTTACGCGGGACCGTCCATCTTTTGCCGAATACAAGTATCGCTTCAAGTATCTTACCACACAGATTCCATTTCTACTGCGGCGACCAGTACGGAAATTCTGAAGCCTCGGGAAGCGAGGGGTATAATAAGAAATTATACTCGTGATTCGATGCCATCGATGTCGGCAATGACTTATAGATTAAGGGAACATATTTATCCCTCACGAGTTCTGTGTTGTGACGTCCAACTTCCGTTTGCCTTTACTTTTTACTCGTACAATACCTTCTATTTTTCTGCAGCATCGGATTCCTTTGGCTAAGGGTGCAAGCATTCGATCGGATTAGTCTGAATGTCCTTGAAGTCGAGGCTGTCAACTTCCGTCGTGTTTTCTTCCTATTCTCGAGGGTCTCGTTCGTACGGTGCGAGATATTCGAGGAATTCGCCGTTGGTCCCAGGACCCCGTTCTTCTTCTCCTCCTCCAAAACTTTCATCCCGTTCCTTCTTCTTCTTCTTCGTGGGTTCCTTTCGGCAGTCGGAGGACGATTCGTTCTCTCTTTCCGGCGTGTTTCGCTCGGGATTAGCTGGTCCTTTTCCAACTGCGCCTCGATTCGAACGCGTACAGAGAGCGACGAGGCGAGTGAGGCAAGCAACGTAGCTCTCTCGTCACTGTCTATCCGAGCAGACAGCGTGGAGCTGCCTTCGAGCAAAGTGAGTGCGTCTAATGAGGCAATAAATAAGTCGACCGCCCTAACCGGCCTTCTCCACGCTTTTCGTTCGCGACGACGTGTCCATCCTCCGGTTCCAGTTCTTTTCTTGCCTTCTTCGCAAGTACAACCCCTTCTTCCTCTTCTTCTTCTTCTTCTTCTTTCTACCTCGAAAGATCGACAGACCTCCTTCCCTGGCCTTTCTTCGATGTCCAAGAGACACCGCACGAACCGATTGTGTTCGTTATCTTCGGCTCGTTTGCTCGACTTTCTCTCGATTCTTTCTTTTCTCAACGCGTCGTGTTCGTTTCGAATCTTCGCTCCGGTCGCGTCCCGTCGCCTCGGTTCGCGAAACCAACTTACTCGGAAACATTTACGGTTTCTTGACCACTCCAATTCCTCTCGCTGGAAACTGACCACGAGTCTTGCCAGGTTATTTATAGGCCAACGAATGATAGAAAACGAACCGACCGGACCGATCAGTCGAACGACGCGACGTGTTTCCATTAATAACGTCGTAACGTTATTCGCGTATCGAGCAACCACCAGATTTGTACGTTTATTTGAGTTGGATCGCTTAGCCGGTGCACACGGTCGTTAACGAACCAGCGCAAATACTCTTTGCCAGTGATCCCTTTGAACCTCGGTAGGGTCGGAAGAGTATCGCGCGGTAGAGAAGCCTCTGTTTTCATTTTTCATTTATCCCTTTCGCGTTTATCGCGATCGATTCTCCGATCGGTATTCCTGACGATTTAACTCTTCGATCCTCGCGAGTTTCGGTCGATTTAGGAAGAGGTTGCGATCAGCAACGCGGACATAGAAAAGATGATATACAGGTTCGCGTCAAAAGCGACACTGGTGTCGAGGAATCGACTATTTTTAGGAGCACGCGTAAGAGTTGGTTCTTGGCTTGTCAGCACAACGATAAGGCGTTTGATGTACGCGGCTCGGCGAGAGTCGAGTGCCATAACTTTCGACTTCTTGGAAAGTACGTTTGCCCGTTGGTATCTGTGTCGATGGCCAGTGACAATGGTGACAGTGCTGACGAATCGCGAGTCACTGTCGCATTCCTCGCGGATTACGGTTATCGTGACGTAAGATTCTTAGAAAATTTCTTTATTCCTTTGCTTTACCGATTTAGGAAAGAAAAATATGTTTCACCAAGTATTCTTATTCCGGCGAACGTATCAGGCTCAACGATTCCGTGGAAGCGTGTCCGGTTCCGGTGACTCGAAGGTGGTGTTCTCCGTTATGGACCGTCGGGAACAAGCATCGAGTAAGAATATCGACGAGTCGAATGAAGTTCTTGCGCGTTGTTCCCTGCCAGCGAGTCCGATCGTCCCGTGAGACGTAACATGCGCCATATTTTGCTCGAGAACCAGAGCAACGTTTAAATCTTTTTCCTTTTTTTTATCTTTCTCTCTCTCTGAACGAACGAAGACCGCAACCGGCTTGATTCTGAACGTCTTTTAGCCTCGACTCTCGCGATCTCTCTCGCGATCGCGAGTTTCTCGAGAATTCCCCGTCGGACGTTCTTGTCCTCGCTGTTATAGTCGTCGTTCGAAGCAGGAATCCTCGCCCAAATGACGATGTCACCGGTGCACCAGTCACTGTTACCCCGTATTACTTCTTCTTCTCGTTCTTCCTTGCGGTTCGTGCGGAACGAAAAGCACCGGCAGCATCAGCGACGTATAGACGGGCGCGAGCGACCGTCCTTAACGGAATTATTTGCCATTAAGGTCGTTGCATTCCCGAGAGGCCGTCGTGTACGCGTCCTGGCATCCAACCGACGCAGAACTAATGATCTTAATTAACGTTTCGCAACCAAGTTCGCTCGGACTGTCCTTTTAGCCAGTCTCCTCCTCTCTACGCGCACCGCGTCGTCCTTCTTCTTTTCGAAATTTTTTACTCCCAGCTCTTCTTCTTTTTCTTCTTCTTCTTCTTCTTTCTGGTCTCGAAGGAGAAAACTCGCGGTTACCTTCGACTCCGTAATCCCTGTAGACCTTGCCTCCTCTTCGCCGGACAATGGAGATTTAATTATCGTAATTCGCGATCATTTGTCCTGTCCGCGAGGTTTTTGATTCTCGACCAACGAGACGACAGTTTGCCCTGGGGACTCGTTCGATAACCTTTTCGGTACGGCGACAGTCAGTCTCGAAGCAGCATTCGTCGTTCACGATCGTTCTAATCGATTCGGTGCTCGTTTGTTTCAGGACCGTTGGAAATCAGGTGGTGATGGATCCGTTGCTCATCTGCAAGAAAACCAGGAGACTGAGGGGTAAGATGGCGGATATTTGTCGGAAAGAGCCGTCGTTGTTGAAGGAGATCGCAAGAGGCGTGCAAGTTGGGACCAGAGAATGCCAATATCAATTCAGGAATCGACGATGGAATTGCACAACGATCAGGAGATCGTTGAGGAAGATTTTGCTACGAGGTAAGTAGCGGCTTCAATCTCGTCTAATTTCCTTTTGATTTCGACGATGATTGATGAGATTGATTGATTTTATATAAATTCTAAACGCTACTTACTGCTAATTGTTGCTACTTAAACCGCGGGACCCCCCGCGGTAATCAGCCTGCTCGATGTAACACATTCGCGTGTTCGCAAGTTGAATATTGCGACACTGGTACACTTGTTGCAACAACTTTATTAGAAGAGAAAAAATGCTACCGATTCGAGATTAGGCGAACCAGATGTCGATTACACACTGCCTTTCAGGCGAGCGGTTCGATTCGTTACGATTAAATGCCGGCAATCGAACGGCACACCTTCGGAAGAAGTTGCTCCGCTTCGACGTTGATCGCTCTATTCGAGACAAATCGTATCGATGCTCGATCAGTGTTATTATATCTGATCTACCGTTCGTCATTATTTTCGAATTACGCTCGACGAGGTTGTCGCGGGCAATGGAAAGTTGCACGGACATCCTTTTTTCCTTTTTCTACGTTTACTATTGCACAACATTGGCTTTCAATAGCCATAGAAACAGTGCATATTCACGGTATAACGCTTTGTCAACCGGAAAGCAATTAATAAATATTCTGATAGTAATTACTAAGAAACAACCAGTTAACCATTTGCAATCATAAATAGTCTTCTCTTATTAGTCATCGCAGCGATGTAAATTGGTGAATCAACAGGATATTTTGCAAGATGTTTTGCTTAATATGTTTCAAGTAGATATCTGAAGAAGGGTTAAATTGAAAACGATAAGGTTGATTTGCATGAAAATAAAGTTACCCGTGAGTGGAGCTATTTCGGTGAAGAGTAGAGCCGCGTAAACGGTTGCGAATGTAAATGGAACAAATTGAAGGAGGGTCTCGAGCCTCGTGTCCGAAGAGAAATTCTCACGCGGTTGGGTTAGCGTTTATTCGTGAACCGAGCAGAAGAGAGAACGTAGCTGTCCGCGTGGTTCGCTCAGTTAACCATCCGATGTATTAATTCCGGGTGATCGAGCACGACAACTAAATCGAAGACAGCGTGTCCAATAGGCCGAACTGCTCTCTAGGTTCCGCTATCAGATCGGTACCTTTTGGTAGCCTGACAGATTGACACTGTCCGTCGGATATTAGTGGCAATATGTTCCCTTAATTAAAGGCTTCATTGGCAAGGCGACCGATCCTTCGAACCGTTCCGTTTAGTCTCATCTCCTCCTTCTTCGTCTCCTTCGTCTTCTTCGTCTTCTTTCAAAGATTATACCGTCGCGTCGATCCTATCGATCGTGATTCGTCGACGTCCCTGATCAACTTGTACGTACGGGACGCGTGGATTCCATCGTGGACGATCGATGATCGAATTATATCCGACACTGTCGACCATGCCTGACGATCGTTGTTCGACCGATCGAAGATTCCACCGACAGGATACATCGTTTTATACTCGATTCAACCTTCGACGTTCCATCAATGGAACGGGTTAAATTTTAGCGCTACCAACGGCGCGTACAGGACGTCTGAAAAAGATTGCGCAAAAATGAAAATGATATTCAGAGAACTTATGAGACGACGTGGTAGTTAACTTCGAAACGGGAACATCTTTATTCGCATGAATATGGAAGAAGGCATTGTGCGAGTACGCGCGTCTCGCCGAGGGTGGGCCAGTAGCCCGTATATTTCTTGTCGTAGACTTCCCAGGGCGAGCTGTCTTCGCCCGGGGGTCGCAGATAAATGACGACGTTCAGAATTGTCACCCGAAACGACCGGTTAACACATCGCCGCCCCTGTCATCGATCCGAACCGTCCAATAATGCACCCGGCAGCCAGGATTTATGTACCTGCCGTTCAACCTTTTCCAAACCATCCTACCGTTCTGCGCCACAAACGACTTCATCGTTTCGAGGATCTAAAGGAAAATTCTACGGTATCCCGTGAATTTAGACGAGTGCAATTCGTCGAACGGTGGCAATTTAAATGGCGGATGGAAAATAGAAAAAGCAAATGCGTGCTTCCAATGTTTCGAACGATGCTACCTTTCAAGACATTGCCGCGATAACGTCGGTAGCGGTGAAGGATCGTTAATTGCGAACGGTGTAACAGGTGACATGAACTTAACGATTTCACGACGAAGCATAATGTAATCGGACATTGTCGTCTTTACGTTTTTATGGGGTGAGTCGGGCTGGTAAGTGGCAGGTGGAACGCAAATTGGGTCCTCGTTGGTCCATCGTGTGCCGCAGTGGTTCTCCTAATTAGAAACTGTACAAGATCCTGTGAGCAGCATCGAAACTCGATTTTGTGAGTTCCATCGTCCAAAGAGAACGTTAAGGAGGTATGCCTACCCAGAAGGCTCGGAAAAAAACTTTTATGATAAATCCTTTGCTTCTTTTAAAAAGCATATTTTCACAAGATTCTAATAATTTATTCTTCTTACTTGGGCGTACTTGTTCCTTATCGAACGCTCGTAAATGTAAAAGTTTGATGTTAGTCGGTATTACGCGAAAGAAAGAATCACGGTGGGAGGTCGAGATTAACCGAGAAAGAAAGAGAAAAATTCGTGGGAGCGTATCGAGGTAAGGTGGAACGGAGTAGGATCGAAAGGAAGCGAGGAAAAATTCCTAACGGGCACAAGCACATAGAGAAAAAGCGTGGTAGTAGGCAAAAGCCACGCTACCGTCGGCGCCTATCTTAATTCTCGATTGACGTTTATTTATCTGGCGACGTTTAATTTTTATGGGCGCGATCTGGCCGATAGGTTAGCCCCGCAGGTAGCTCCTGCTGTGTGGTCCGAAGGGAAGCCCCGGAGGAGATTCGAGGTTAGACTGGTAGAACATTCGTGGACGAGCAGCACCTCTTAATTGAGGGGTGCCGCGTGTCGCGATAAGAGAAACACGGGCGTCAAAAACCCGTGGAAAGAGCTACCAAGAAAGGAAGAAGGGGAAACGAATGGAAAGGAGGAATTTATTGTCTTGCTAGGACTCGTTCACTCGTTGTTCCTTCAGGGTTATCCAACGTGGATTCCGAACGATCCCTACCGGATTCCCTTTGCTCGATATCTACACTCTTGCTCAAAAGTTATACGGCATTTGCTTAACTTTTATAACCCACGATTAGCATGACTTATGCATTAAAAATGGATAATTTTTGGACAATTTTGGGACTACGTATGCGCTATTCGATACTGCGCATGCGCTATTCAATACTGCGCATGCGCTATTCAATACTGCGCGTGCGCTATTCGATACTGCGCATACACGGCACCTAACCTTACCTAACCTAACCTTAGCACGATATCTCGAAAGCGGTAAGACATCCAATTCTGAAACCAACTTTAATCGGTTTCTTGTAGTTAATTTAAATTATATACCGAACATGAGTTCTCAATTCTGGTAGAGCAATTCGGAAACACAGCCTTAAAAATGTAACAGGATCAACTTTAAGCCTATTTCTCGAATTTTTTTTCTATTCAACGTCTGGCAAGAATCTCATTCATTACGAGTGCGTATACATTCGTACGTCGTATTACCTCGAAAACATTCTTTTCGTCGACGTTTCTGGTCACTAACGAGGATGCTCACCTTGGCGCGTTAATAAACTCGCGTCTCGACTCGCGATTACTCCTCGTTTTCGCAACTCGGTTCCGCTCGCTTTCGATAATTGCTACGTAGAGATCTTTCTCGTCGGTTTCCGAAGGTGAACTCGACATACTCGATTCGTCGATAACGATTAGCGGGTTCGATAGGGAGACAGGTATATCTTGATACCCGGTAAAAACGTTTAATTTCTATTTTTATCGTGTTCAACTTAAAACGTAAGATATAAACGCACGCAATTTACTTATAAGACTGGTTGAACGTGAATAAAACACGTTCGGAGTTCCAAGTCCTTTCTTCGAGGTTCGCGACAAGCCGAAACGGGACGGGACGGGACGGGACAGGACAAGACGATAATGAGCGAGCTAAAAGCGATTTAGCGTCACGGCGCTAAGTGTTTTGTCGCCTCGCGAACTCGGTGCTAACTAATGCGGTTCGCAGAGGACCCGTATGCGTATCCCTCCCCCTCTCGCCTCTCACCTTTACCTTCTATCGACTTGTTCGTGAATTCGTCACCGCGTTCCTCCTCTGCTCGTTGAATTACCGCACACGTCGTTCGCCTTCTTTGCTCGTTTGGAAATTTTCCTTTGGCTCGTAAGGGTTAATAAACCAAAGGTGTACGTCAGCCACAGACGATCCAGTTCTTTTCCCGATTCCTCGAATTCTCGTGGACGTGACAGTTCGAACGGTAGAAGAATTTAAGCGTCAATAAGTTCCACCTGGTTCGGAAAGATTGCGTGGAATGCGATTGACACGGTGGACCAAAATCACGGTGGGTCCGAACGAGAATATCTCGATGATTTATCCGTTGTACCACTCGAACGGAGAGAGTGGCGACTACGTAGTCGGCACCCTCGCCGCAGGAAACAACAATACACGAGCCATGAGCGACGATTATGGGGCAAGCGTGTCTTCCAGTTGAAAAGGGAAACCCCAATTTTTCTCGCTTCCAGCGTCGAGCCAGCCATCGGCAGGAAGGAAATTGTCCGTGACTAAAGACGCCTCTGGTGTCTACTGTCAGCCAAGAACCCTTACTCTCCTCTTTCTTCCTCGTCATCGTCCACCATTCTTTCTACAGCGTCTTCACGCTTCTCCATTGTACCCCGAGTTTACCGGGGGTCGCATACCGATCCGCGTTCTCCATTCGAAACAAACGAGGAAATATTTTTCTAATCCCGGTTGTCACGCGAAACGGTTCCTGCTAATTTCTGAACAACGCGTTTGTTGACTTGCTTGGAAATCATTTACCAACGCGACGAAACTCACGGGGGAAAATAAAAAAGCAACAACAAGAGGGTATTTGCTGGCAGCGGAGTAACGGAGAAGAAGAGCATCGATACGCAGCCGGTATTCCGTACAAAGGATTGACAATAGCAAACAGTTTAATGTCCCGTACGTTTATTGTATCTCGGCTACCGTGGCTTTAACTCGCATCGCCAGGTAAAGTGGAAGGAGCGATGAAAGGAGGCAAGAAGGAGAGAAAGAGAAGGCCGAGAGGTACCAGAAGAGGAGAATCGGAACACCGGGACAGATCTGTTATTCAGTTAGACTCAGCCCGTTCGCCGGTGACATTTGAATGCTCGCTCGATTTTACATCGGCGAAGGGGAAGCCCGCAGGAAGAAGACTCGCCAGAGAAAACGAGGAGAACTTCTTTCCAGTATCCTTTGCGTTTACCATTCTCAATCTTCGATTCTTGCTTCTCGTCTTTTCGAAATACTTTTCTTCTCAAATTTCCTTCGAACTCGTCGCTAATTCCCTCTGCAACCTTTCCCTATTCAAGGGTGTATACATATGTGTCCTCTAAGAAACCGGGGGAAACGGAGCGAAAGAGAAACAGAAGGAACATATAGAAGAATCGGCGTAATTACCTTGGTATCTCGAAGTTGCAAGTTTGTTCAGTTGGCAACGTACGAAGAGGGATAAAGACGGGGTGAGAGAGAGAGGATACGAAGTAGAAATTCCAGCGAGAGAGGAGAATCCAGCAGTGATACCGAGCCGCTCAAAAATCTCGCGGAATCTCGGGAAAAGGCGAGTGGCCGTTGCCGCAATTGGTCATTGGGCGATTTTTGCCGGCATTCATGCGTCCGTTCTCGCTGTATTTATTGGAAAGGTTTCTCTGGTAGTATCTGCTATACACGGGGTTAACTAAACGCCGTATTCGACGCGCTATCTCCTTTCCTCTCATTTGATATTCTTCTCTTTATTTACGGGAACGGTGATGGCGATTTATCTTTTCCCCTTGCCACTGTCACGCTCTTTCTCTTTTCCACGAATCTTATCCGCAATTAGAGCGAACTCGACGAAACGACTGGTGTAACGCCGCGATTGGTTACCATCGATTCGAACTAGTTGGATTTACGGAGGCGAGCCGAGCCGATCTATTGCGCACGAATCGGCGCGGGGCATACGGCGCCGATAAATCGCGGGACGGTAAAACAAATCACTGGACGGGGACCGATCGATAGCATCTGGCCGCGTCGATCGACTTTGCCGGCGACATAATTCCTACAATGGCGGCATCGATGCACCGTCGCAAATTACACGCTTACATAATCCGATGGACCGATTAATCACACCGCGATTTACGAGGGATTTGTCGAAGACGCGGGAGCGCGCTAGCGGAGCTTCCATTCGAACGCGCAATTCGCTCGGGTGATAATAAATCGGTCTATGATATCAAATTTTCTTCCACTACCAGGATACTAAATTATCCGAAAGTTTTCTGTTATTTTCCAACGTTGGAGAAGCATCGTTGCGGTAATTTTCTATAAGGAAAACACGATTGCACGATCTTTGTGCCGAGTTATAGTCGGCGCGAGTAGCAAAAGGTTCGAAGATCCAAAGATCACGACTATTTATTTCATGGATCGTTTGTTGTATTTCACCGTGATCAATCGAAGACACGCATACGTGTCCCGTTAAGCGAGCGATTCGTGTCGCAAAATGGGCAAACGATAGCCATACTCTGGCGGATAAATGCCACTCGATGAGTCCTCGTCAGCTTGCATAATCGGCGAGCAAACAGATCGAGCAAAGACGTCGATCCAGGGAGCTTTCACGATTCTTCTTTCCTCTTCGCGGCGATCGTTGGGTGAACGAACCGCGTCTATCCTTCGTTTTCTAACAACGGAACAACACTATTTTCGGTGCAGCAAATCGCAAACGCTGCTTCGCGAGTAAACGCGAAAATCAGAAACGACTTAACAGCAAGGGAGAACAGACGCGTTAAAGAAGAGAAGAAGGAAGAGAAAGAAGAAGAAGAAGAAGAAGAAGACCACTCGCAATTAAACACGGCGTAAGTCTCGCTCCGAGGATAATGCCCCGGAATGCTGATAATTGGCTGAGCCGTCGGGACGACCCCAGAGACGATGGGTGCTCCGTGCACCTGGCTCTGGCATCGCACCGCACTGCAAGATCATCGGCTCGCGATCCCTCGTGTCTAATTGATTCCAAGTGATTTATATTACCTGCTGCCACGAACATTCTCCCCTCTCTACGTCACACGCTCCAATACGAACCGATTTCACTGCTTTATACGCGAGACGAATACTTTTTTAAGACCGTATCGTATCCGTATCGTGCACGGAAAGAATGCTATATTTCTTCGAAATTGAAAATGAAAAAGATGTACATGGATGTATTTGTTAAAAAGAAATTGAAAAGGCGATTGAAAAGAAGAGAAAGGTAATCCGGAAGCGGATAGCAAGAAGGTAGATTGGGTTCAGGTGGAAGGATCGCGGAGCCGGCGCGGGTAGCCGGGCAAAAAGGCAGCGGACGCAACACGCGGCGGGGATGGTTATACACGAGAGCTGGAAGACAGCAAACAGCCCCAGGGCCTTTCGCTCTCGAAGCCAGCACCGATATCAGATCGGCCGTATAAAACTATCGTATCGTTTAAATACGCACTGAAAGGTGAGGCGATGCATCGGAAGATACGCGGGCGGTGGCAGGCTACTTCTCTCGAGCTGCGTCCTCTCGTTCCGTCCGTCCGTTCGTTCGTCCGCGTGTCGATCCGTCGCGAAGATACCCGCTTGGAATCCATGGGAACCACGGCGAACCGAGCTTAACGCGTATAACCCCTTCCCAGGCTCGCGCCGCGACTCGCTCCCTCCGCTCTGCTTATTCATCTTCTTTCGCTACCCTATTCGCTTCCCCCTTTCGATCACTCTCTTTCTCTGGCTGTCATAGAAATATTAGCTTATCTCATAAATATCGTTGCTCGATTTCAAATAATTTGACGGTAGGCAAGAAGTATCGCAAGCCCATTTCCTCCGCGATGTCCTCCAAGATCTCGATCCTCGATCCGCATTAGTATTCGCGGCTGGTTTTCGCTTAAACGTTCGAAAAGGATAATTGCCTGGCGGCGCGGAAACGCTTCGAGCGTTTCTTCGATTCGATCGCCGTCCGACTCGACTCCATTCGACTCGACCGATCGCCGACAGATACGCTCTCGATACTTTGACCAGGATCGCCGATTCCCTTGGCTCGACGCACGCCCAAAGGAATCGGGTAATTGGAGCCGCATTCTCCGTTACGATTATAAGTTAATCCAAGGGTGTAACCGCTAGATTCTATCTTGTCGCGTATCGACCGATGCGCGAACTTTACAGAAGACGCGGTCTCTCGATGAAACGCGAACAAAAACTTATCTGGAGATTGCGTCAAGGTAGGAGAGAGGAGGGACACACGGAAATAAGAAAAAAAAAAAAGGGGGATCCAAGAGGATTTGCAAAACCCGGATGCTCGGGCAGGTGAGAGACAATGGGTGACAGGGAGACCCAGGACGGAGGCGGTGGTAATCCGCCGTTTTGAAAAGGGGTGGAACACCGGCGTGCATTGTCCGCTTAATGATGGAGTGGAAACGTGACAGGTGAAACCGAATACACACGCCACCAAAATTCGACGTCCTAGCTCTTTCTCAATTGCTCCCAGAACCACGACGACCATCTTACCAACCCGACCAGTCTACCTCTTGAAACCCTCAGTTTCGAGACGTCCATCCATCGACGATTATGACATTTTCTGAGGAGAGCCGTCGTTCCCGCTGATTCAGCGACCGGTCGATTTAACTCGCTTACCTAAATTACCTCCTTCGTAATTGCCTTGTTCGAGGGACGCCGAGTAATCCCGTTTCCTTCCTTTCGGATCCCTTTAATTTACGGGTGCCAAGTGAAATCGCATCTAAATTTTCATCGTCTTTCAATGCCCGATACTTTCAGATACCAGGGAGACGGGTTTCGTGAACGCCATTACCGCGGCCGGTGTTACCTACGCGGTCACCAGGGCCTGCACCATGGGCCACCTGGTCGAGTGCTCTTGCGACAAGATGACACCGAAAGGTAAACATCCTCGATTACTTTTTATCTGATTCGCGAATCGATCTAGCGAACCATTGGAAATGCTCAGGTAATCGTTTGGGCAAACTGGCGCGTGCCATCGACATGGAGAAGAGTCTGCCTACGGAGGGTGACTGGGAATGGGGTGGATGCGGCGACAACGTGAAGTTTGGATTCAAAAAGTCACGGGACTTCATGGACGCGCCTTATCGAAAACGCACCGACATCAAAACTCTGGTCAAGCTTCACAACAACAACGCTGGTCGTCTGGTAAACGCTCTCATACTCTTTTCGCAGATTTTTTTCTTTTTAAAGAAATTTGCTTGAAGAAACGATGCGTTTGGTTCGTGCGACAGGCTATCAGGAACTTTATGAGGACCGAGTGCAAGTGTCACGGACTGTCCGGATCGTGCACGGTTCGCACGTGTTGGCGGAAAATGCCCCCGTTCCGTGACGTAGGGAACAGGCTGAAAGAGTCGTTCGACGGAGCGGCTAAAGTGATACCGAGCAACGACGGGCACAGCTTCATCACAGAGGGTCCGACCATCAAGCCGCCCGACAGATTCGATCTGATTTACAGCGAGGACTCGCCCGACTTCTGCAAGCCGAACCGAAAGACGGGATCGTTAGGTACCCAGGGACGTCGTTGCAACTCCACCAGTCAAGGAGTAGACGGCTGCGAGCTACTGTGCTGCGGCCGTGGCTACGACACCAGGATCGTCAAGGAGAAGATCAATTGCGAGTGTAGGTTCCGTTGGTGTTGCGAGGTCACCTGCAACACTTGCCTCGTCAAGAAGACCATCAACACTTGTCGTTAGCAATGATTGGCGCAATGGATATTTAGGTAATTTCTGGTCTCCTCCCTGTTGTCAACGCGTTTTCCATCAGAGTATGTTTCATTTTTTCACCGTTTCGTTTCAGCCAGTCTATTTATTTTCTTTTTCTATATTTCTGAAGATTCCAGGTAAATAGAAAGTAATTGAATCGTCCCGCCTTATCCTACCTTCCAGACTCTTATTCGATTACGCTGATCCTTCCTGGACCTGAACATCCTAAGAAAAGAGATCCGAATCCAGGTATTCTGTGGACTGACTGAAACGAAACGAGAGATTAATCTGGACCGCAAATGGTAAGAAATGTTCATCTTTCGACGTTTGATGATTCCGCGGTTAGGATAAGCGTTTGTAATATAGATATCGCGAATCGATTCTGAAAAAGGCTGCGTCTAGCTTTCGATTCGAGGAGCGATCATTGTCGTCGTTCGAAGCTTTCCAGGTATCTCCAGCTATTCGTTGAAGCGTTTCCGGTCGCGTTCGTCGCGGGTGAAACGTTCGTAGCTTTTCTCGCTTTTCGTCCAGTTTGTCGGCGAATTTTCTTTACGCTTGCAAAATCTCTCCATGATTTTTTTTTTTTTATTTTAATTTTATACTAATATTATTCCTTCTGTGTTTGTTCGTTTGTTTTTTTTTTCTCTTTTGTAAATAAGACTGAATCGACGAAAGTTTATATTGTGCCAGAATAAAAAAGCGTGTACCCTCGGGCAAAATTCTCGTTGGTTACTTTCTATCGCGTTGATCGACCTTTGAGCTCGTTTGCAACGAGATCGCCGATTAATCACCGCCACCAGCTGTGACGTTTGTATCGGTTGAGACGTTTTTTTCTGACCTCGATATTCGTCTTTCCGATCGATTGCAGGTAAGTGAAACGTTTCGTAATTAAACCCCTTCGTTAAGAACGCTTCAAACGAAAGTCGTACATCGTTGCTTGTTCAAGATACCAAAGGAGAACGGTTAATGAGCCGAACAGGGAAAGATGTTAGGAGGCCTCGTATATTACCGCGTCTTGTAGAACACAAGCTTTTAGCTGTAATTCGACCTTGTACATGGGAGAGGTCGCGCGAGCAATAAACAACCGGTGTCTACATCTCCTATAAAATAGTTTTACGGTTAAGGCCGGAGAGAGGAATTTCGCATAACCATAAAGCCAGAAATGAAGAGGAACGCTCGCGCCGTATCGCGCGGCGCGTTCGCCGCGTTTCGGCGATAGCGGAAGCCATAAACTTCACCAAGAGAAATCTTTTTTTTTATCCTCACTTTGACACGAGCTTCTTCGCTCGTCTCGCTTTCTTTGTCAGAGGTGAAAATTAACGCGGTCGGTTGGGTCCGGTATATTCGTTTTCAGAATTTTTCATCCTCCGTATCTCGTGTCGGCGTTAAGGGTCGCTTTTAACCCCTTCGTTGTAGCGTCCGTTGTCTAATAATCGTAAATCGATCGTTAAAACTCGCAGGTAACTTCTATTCTATTTTAGGTACGCCATTAATAATGATTAAAGAAACCTCAAGAGGAACAAAAGCTTGATTGTTTCTAAAAAAAATTAAACCGGGCAAATAAAGAAATATCGACGATAAAAAGTTCGGGATGGAAAGAAATAAGTACGAACAACGAATTTTGATAATCATTACGCTCTTAATGTGCATGGCAAAAGTGGTTCGCAGGGGTCGGGTAAAAAATTTTCGGCTCTTACACCCTTCGATTTAATAGGTTGACGCGGCAGAGAAGAGGTGTGCGCGCGAGAAGAGCTCGCGTAAAGGTCTCTTAATAGAGAGGTCGACCTCCACAGGGTAGAAAGGTGGTGAGCTGCAATTAGCCCCACCAGCCTGGTTGGACCGGACCGGACCGTCCGGACTCGATTAGCCCATGGCCAAGAGATTGGTCTGCTTCGGGCTGGCTGGGTGGTCCAACCGGGGTAATTTTCGGCTGCCGTCCACGTTCCCCTTTGAGGGAAAAATGGCCCCTCGAAATTGGACCCGAAGTTACCGTGCGCGTACCAGAAACCCGGCCCGTAACTCCTCGCTCCCAGGACGCGTCCGCCATCTTTTCTTCTCCCTCTTCTCCTGCTTCTTCCCACGGGCGAAGGAAAGGCGAGAGGATCTTCCGGTGGTAATTCAATTTCGCCCGACAGACCCGATCCGTACCGGTTATTACGGGCTAATGAAAACATCGCCGCCACGGAGGATACCCGGGACCCATGGGAAGCGATGTTCGATTCGTTTATCGAGTTTCTCGATTACCGCATTAACTCGTTTATGAATTTTCTTTCTTCATTTTTTAAGAGAATAGTGGATAAAGGTGGTACGCGTGAGAGAAACTCTCTGACGGCGAAGGATCGTTCGTTTGGCAACGCGTTCTTGGAACGATTAGACGCGGAACAATGGGGCCCGCAGAACGCACGTGAGTCGTGACGCGCGACAAAACCGCAAAACGCGAGCGTGATTAATGGAAAGAGAAAGAGCAGTTCTTTCCTCGTTACCCTCCGACTGCTGGAGGAAACAACGATAAGGCACCATGACTCGACGCGCGACCGACGAGCTTTTTTACAACTGGATCGTCGAAACGCTTGTTATCGAGGGAAGAAGGGTTCGAACGAATCGGCGAAACAAAGTTGCTCCTGGTACCATGAGCTATCTATCGTTTCAAAAAATATCTTTACCTTTCTGAACGCTTTCAGGTATCGGCACGATATCTAATTGCAATCTTACCTGGCTAATTCAATATCTCATTGTCAGTCGATATCCGCATACTTGCTACTTTCGTTATTAATTCTGAATTCCTACCGATGCGTGCATAGCTGGTAGAGTGGAAAAGGGTTGAGAAAGATGGCAAGCAGCAAGTGTAGGTACAGAGGCAAGCAAGAAATCGAGGCGCCGGAGGTGGTCGGTCGTTCGAGCCGGCCGACGCCAATATTAATTAAACGATCCCATAAGCGCCTAACAAACTGGCTGTACGTTAGGCGGTTTATTGGGCTCGCCGAGCAGGACGTTAAAATGTTCCAATCTTAATTAGGTAGGTGTTTACAGGAGGATAATTCCACGGACCTTAAGCCGGTGCACCGTTTACCGTTTCTACTGGACGCGGGCCACCGGCTACGAACGGCTCTCTCGTCTCCTCTCCTCGTTGCTTCTCCTTCGGATATTCTTCGAAAAAGAATATATTCCTCTCGTGTCCTCTCCCTTTCGCCGCTCTTCTTCGCCCTTTTTCTCCAATCCCAGCTACTCGAAGGACGAAGGACCGTGCCACGAGGTAGGTGGAGGAGGTCGTTGAAATCTTTACGGTTCTTCCAGCTTCTTGGAATTTCTTCGACCTCTTCTCTCTTCGTCTCGCTTCACCCTTCTTCCCTGGCATACTGGTCTTGCGTAATTAGCCGGATGTCCTTTTTTTCTCCTCTCCCCCTGGTCCCCTGTACGTTTCTCTGTCGAAAAAGCGACGGACGCGCCGGCAAGGGGCGAATAATCTCCGCACGGAATGCGCGCTCTGGATAAGCTTCGTTCTTCGTTTCTCTTCCAGGTAATCTCGCGTTCTCCTTCGAAAGCATTGTTCTTCGCGACGGTGTACCCGCTAATTCCCGTCGATTCGTTTAGAGGCGTTTAGAAGCGGTTAGCGCGCGGTTGCGACGCCATCTTCCGCGTTCCGCTCGGTCCGCGAAAGCTGGAAAATCCTGGAGCTGCTCGACCACCTTCGTTCCTCGATGCTTATCGCGACCGATCGGGGGGGGCACGATTCGTTTCGCGAGTTGAATTTACGGGGAATTGCGGAAAATCAGTTAACGTTTGAGGAGGGATGGAAATTACGGTCCGGAGGGGCTCGTAATTTCCCTTCGGTCTGATGTTGATCGAGCCGAGTCGGGTCCGAGTGGAAACGAGTCGAGGCGTGTCGTAATTATCGGTCGCATAATATCGCTGGGTTTATTTTCAAGAATTTTTACGCTCACGCGAGGAATTCCGTTTTATCTGCGAGCTACTCGAGCAAGTATGTTGCATCTGGTACCGTTTCGTTCGCCGCTCGCTTTCCGATTTATCGCCAACCAAAGATCAAATATAAATCGGATCGATGCATTTGCAAACTAGTCCCCAAGTTATTTCTTTTAACTATTTAAGCTATCGCTCCTGTTCCCTCTTCCTCTTCTCGTTCAACTGAGTCGCGACTTGAAAATCTCGATCGTTTCATCGGAAAACGCCCTCTCGTTCTCTCGCTGGCAGGATGGCAGAGAAGGATTCAGCGAATCCGGAGGAAATCGCCGACCGCTTCGGTCCCGAAAAGGAGGAGCGGAACGAGGCTGGACGATAAATATCTCTGTGCGGTCGCGTTGCGAGCACACGACATTGTGGGCAATGGTCGTAAACCGACGTGTTGCCAAGCCCTTCTCCTCATCCTCCTGGTCCTCCTCTCTGCACAGACTCCGCCGTGTTTCCGATGCCAGATTATACGCGCTGGACCGTGACACCGACAACTTCATCCGCGGGGCGCCTCTGATTTATCCTTATTAATAAAACTTTAAAGTGCTGTTAACATGTGCCGGAGGGTGGCGGTGACGGCGAACGCGGCGCAGAGACCGAAGAGGAAGGTACTGGGATATGGCTGGGCAAGTATTGCGCTCCGTAGGCGGCCGAAATTTCGATACACTCGGTATGCTACCAAGCATACACGGACAAAGTACTGTATTTTTCTGGCAATTGAACTTCAACACCAGGAAGAGGCTGAAAATAACTCCTAAAATACTGAAGTATTCTCACCCAAAGCCTATTAGCAAACATCGACGATGATGGGAGTTATTAAAGAAATTAATGGGATTAAGACCGACCGAAATCGCTTAAGAAAATCACATAAAATATGAGGAACATGGATGAAACGAAGGGATTGGAAAAATATCGAGAGCAAAGAAGCTCTTTCGAAAGGGTCGAAAGTTTCTCTGGCAAGCTGGAGCACGCATGGGCTCGCAGCAGGGTGTCCGGGTTCGCGAGGAGCGAGGGACGGGGAAGGGTGGTCGTGGGGTCCGGAGGAATCGAGCAGCGCCTCGACGAGATATCAGGCATTATTAAAAGTACATAAACACCGCGAGGTAAAACGCGAATTATGACCGTAGCTGGCTGTGAATTAAGAAGGGGCGACGACGGAACGATGAGAGTATCAGATAAACAGAGTCGTAGGGCTCACTTGCTACCTACCTCTTTTATTCGTCCTCTTAGAAGATTATCTCTCGTGCATAGAAAATTAAACTTATGAAATAATTAAGGATTTAAACTTAAGAAACGTCCGCGACAAGTATTTACCTCCGGAGGTCTGCGCTCGACGGGTTAATAAGAAGTAGATGAAATCGCGAAGAAGGAAGAGGGAGACGGTAAGGGGGGAAGACGTGAAGGAGTTTTCGAACAGAGGGATGGCAGAGCTCAGTCTAATGAAGCCGTTTTCGTGAACGGACCACCGTTGTCCCGCGTGTGGGAGCAAGAATCGTTCCTTTATCGCGAACGCTCGATCTGAGATCGACGTTCAACTCCGTATATCCGCTCGATCAGCCATCGATCCAGCGTGGAACTCGAACGTAATTCACGATCTCCCGTCGTCCCGTGGACCTCCTCGAGAAGGATCCAC